GGATTTTCAAAAGGAGTAATTAGCACTCGCTTTTTAATCAATTAAAAGTATATGGCATGTTTCCTTTTTATTAGCTCACCTGAGCTGAAGGCTCAAGTGAGCTTTTCTGATCAAAATTTGTCCGTTGTCTGTCGTCGGCGTCGTTGTTGTCGTAAACTTTTCACATTTTCATCTTCTTCTCCAGAACTACTGGGCCAATTTCAATCAAACTTGGCACAAAGTATCCTTGGGTGAAGGGGTTTCAAGTTTGTTCAAATGAAGGGCCACGCCCTCCTCCAACGGGAGATATTTACGAAATAGCAAAAAATTAATGGCATTATTGAAAAATCTTCTTCTCAAAAACCAGTGGGCCAGGAAAGATGAAACTCATGTGGAATTATTGTCAGGTAGTGTAAATTCAAGTTTGTTCAAATCATGACCCCCGGGGATAGGGTGGGGCCACAATGGACGATCAAAGTTTTACATAGGAATATATAGGAAAAATCTTCAAAAATCTTCTTCTCAAGAACAGCAAAGCTATGATTGGTCATATTTATTTGGAAGCATCCTCAGATGGTGTAGATTCAAGTTTGTTCAAATCATGACCCCCGGGGGTAGGGTGGGACCAAAATGGACGATCAATGTTTAACATAGGTGTACATAGGAAAAATCTTCAAAAATCTTCTTCTCAAGAACAGCAAAGCTATGATTGGTCATATTTATGTGGAAGCATCCTCAGGTGGTGTAGATTCAAGTTTGTACAAATCATGACCCCCAGGGGTAGGGTGGGGCCACAATGGATGATCAAAGTTTTACATAGGAATATATAGGAAAAATCTTCAAAAATCTTCTTCTCAAGAACAGCAAAGCTATGATTGGTCATATTTATTTGGAAGCATCCTCAGGTAGTGTAGATTCAAGTTTGTTCAAATCATGAACCCCGGGGGTAGGGTGGGGCCAAAATGGACGATCAATGTTTAACATAGGTGTACATAGGAAAAATCTTCAAAAATCTTCTTCTCAAGAACAGCAAAGCTATGATTGGTCATATTTATGTGGAAGCATCCTAAGGTGGTGTAGATTCAAGTTTGTTCAAATTATGACCCCCGGGGATAGTTTGGGGCCACAATGGATGATCAAAGTTTTATATAGCAATATATAGGAAAAATCTTCAAAAATCTTCTTCTCAAGAACAGCAAAGCTATGATTGGTCATATTTATGTGGAAGCATCCTCAGGTGGTGTAGATTCAAGTATGTTCAAATCATGACCCCCGTGGGTAGGGTGGGGCCACAATGAACGATCAAATTTTTACATAGGAATATATAGGAAAAATCTTTAAAAATCTCAAGAACAGCAAAGCCACGGTTTGTCATATTTATATGGAAGCATCCTCAGATAGTGTAGATTCAAGTTTGTTCAAATCATGACCCCCCCCCCCCCGCCACTCCCTTTTTAGGGGTAGGTTGGGACCACTTATGCATTTAAGCTTTTCAATACTAAACTGATTTTTCCTTTTTTCCTAGCCACAGTGCTCAGGTGAGTGATGTGGCCCTTGGGCCTCTTGTTAAATGTAGTGCAGCCGGTGCAATTTAGAATTCATAATCCAAAATTATTCTATGGTCGATACAATGACCTTGTTTGCAAATACAATACGTCGTAAAGACGATTTGTTGACTAAAGTCTTTCATATTGTACCCCATTACTAGCAGACCTGTTTTTATATTCTTTTGAAGCCAAAAAGAAGGTACGATTTTGGCTTTATTGTGTCCTTAAAATTTAACGTTTTCAGAGAGTTATGAAATTGGCTTAAATTCCATGTTAAAAAGTTCCTTGGGAAATGAACTTAACTGGTCACGTGATCAAACCCTGTGACGCCCGAAGGGCTTCCCAGAAGATTTGATCACGTACCAACCTAGTTCATTTTCCAGTGAACTTTTTAACATAATTGTTGTTTATTACTTTTATTTACATTTGAGACGAATATTCTAAATAGAACTGCATTCATTACATGAACGGCCCGCCGTATTGCTATGTTGTGACGCACAATGACCTAGCTAGAAGCTGTTTGGTCTTGAGAGTTCGCCTCGCTCCAACATTTGAATACTTACATTGATGTTCAGCAGTCCAGTTCAGGAAATATCTGTTCATAATGAAAAAAAACAATGATCGCTACTCTGAGAATAATCTTACTATTATTGTATGAGTTCTTAAATGAAGTCAAAAACGGTGGTATCGTCTTCAGTTTGCATACCTTCAAAGGAATATTTCAGGTTAAAAAGTTAAGCGTGATTTTAGGCTAATCAACATTCACACCGAAGAAAGATCTAAATAAATGATCATATGTTGAACAAACAAACACATTTGTTTCAATAATTTTATCTTTTTCATCGCTTTAACGACTTCGAAGTTCCGAAACCAGTGTCATCGTGACAGAAATATACGTAGACAAGATATCATCTCGCTGTGTGAGATGGTCACGCTATGACCTCTGACCCCCTAATAAGTTCGCACAGAATTGAACATATTTTCTCTTCAGTAGGTTCATCTACGAAAAATATTTGCAAATGTAAATAAATATAAATATCATACAGTACATTCAAATACATACAAGGTTGAATAATTTTAGCTATAAGAATTTCATACATCTTACAGATCTGACATGGTTTTCAAAGAATCTTTTACCATCATTTCATTCATAGGTTTCAATGAAGAAAAATAATTCCCAAACATCTGTAAAAACCTTATATATAACAAGCAGTCATGGATGTCGTAAATGATGTACTTATTTTATATATTTAAATTAAGTAACAAAAAAAGCAATGACAAAAGAATAAAATAAATCAAAAGATCTTACAGGCTGGCATTTTTCCTATGTAATTAGTTCCTAGGTTTCTATATTTCATATAATATCATTCACATTTGTATATACGACCCTTGTTGCAGTAGGAATTTGTATAAAAGTAGAGTCCATCAAATCCCACTGCCACTTGTACTGAGGGCCAAGTCACCCTCCAATACGGGTCTTCATTTACATTTGTGAAATAATATAAGGGTATTTCAGAAGGAAAGAAATATACAATATGTATTGTCAGAAAATCAATTCCATTACACTGATGTGTATGTTTTAATCCATAAAAAATAACAGAAAGTAGGGGAATATAGATTAAAAAAATGTATTCATTACAGCACCAGAAAGTGATTGTCAGTGTTTTATATTCAGATTTAGTTGTTCATTTAAAGACTTCTAGTCTATAGACTTATAAACAAAATATTATGTTAACTACAAGCAAATAATAATTCAGCATTTGCTATTAGAAATATTTTCAGAAAACTTAATTGTTCGTTCTAAAAGTTTTTGTAAAATATCTATTTTATTTTCTCCCTTTAGTTGGCAGTTTGGAAAGTCGTGTAATTGTAAGGATAAATTGGATTAGATTTCAATTTTAAAGGCAGCATTTATACTTAAATTAACTTTTACAATTTCATATTTAACTTTGTTTCTTGTTTTCCATATAACCCTCTTTTAAATGTATATTAAAGTGTTAACAAAAATTCTTGAACTTTGTGGTTCTTTTAAGTATCCTACAATTATTGTTTGTGGTTCCAATTCCAAATCATCATTTAGTTCTAACTAGAATTTTGTCTTCTACCAATTTAAGTGTTGGTTTAACCGTTCTACAATGGAAGAATAGATGTTGTTGGCTTTCCCTTTGGTTTTTACATAAATTGCATACACCGTTGGATAATCCAACTTTACATAATTTATCTTCAAGATATTATGGACCCCTTTCCATTGAAATTCTTGAATTTTATATTTTAGTTTTTCTCTTGCAATGCTGTCCCAATTGCAGTGTATGTTAGTTTGTAATATTTTTCCTATTTTTCTCGACTCTTTGGTACTATTTTCTTTTTCTATGCATTTTAATCTAATATCATCATTATTTACTACTTTATTAGTAGTTCTTTTAATGAGAAAGTTATTATCCTATTATAAGAGAGTCTTGACTCATTATTATAAATTTTGTCCTATTAGTATTTGATAATATAGTTAGGGAATTACAGCTTTTATTTTACTATATTCAAATATCCAACACCTTTTGTCTATCAATTTGTTAAATATAATGCTATTGTATTCAAAACAATTACCTTCATCAATCCAAATGTCTTTAATTTTTAATAAACCACTTTTAATATAAATGATGCCACATATAGTGATTTCCCTTGAAATTGTATTAATTTATTTCCAAACAATTGAAGGTTGAGTATTTCATCTCGATTTACAGGCTCACATTTTGCCTGGAATTAACTAAATGCAATAAGTGCTTTTTTTTTTTTTTTTTTTTTTTTTTTTTTAATAAAAATTTGAAATATTATTTAACGAAATTTGAGACAGGTCAGAACAAGAGCATAGGAAATATTCCTGTCTTGGGTGTATATCTTTACTTTTTAACCAGTGTTTAGCAATAGCATTCCAAGTTTCTGATTTTGAATGCATTATTTTATAAATCGTTTTTATTTGTTTACTTTTTATAAAATTAAAAGTATTGTTTAATTTGATTTTTGAGCATGATCACTGTTCGTTATCGTCATATTTCATAATGAAGTCATATCTTCAATAAAGAATTTCTTGCATGTAAGGATATTGCCACAAGGATAGAATTGTGTGTGTGTGTGTGTGTGTGTGTGTGTGATGATGATGATGATGATGATTCAGAAAAAGTTGCTCTCATGTGACCATTGTTAAAGACATGGTTCAGGTAAGCTGTCTTGTGGAATACTGTGCTCACTTCGTGAGTTCTTGATTACTTGCTTTCAACTGCAAAATTGAAGCTTTTGGGTCATATTGGGGTGACATACGCCATCGTTGCAATAACAGACTTTCTGGTTATGATTGTGATATTATAAATGATATTTTTATTTGATATGAGCTATATAGACAATAATCCATAATAAAATACATGATTTATTCAAACTGATGATTTTCAGACAAAATCTGGTATTGATAAAGTAATCAAATATTTATGGTGCAGAGCAAACGGCACAAGTGAGTTCTCTTCCTCCCACGTAAGGGGGGCATTTCAGGGACCCACAACTCGCCTCAACGGGGTACAACAGGTACCCGTATCCTTCCGATCCACCCCCTGTAACGTTATCTGGATCTTTGTCCACACAGGTAAATTTAGAAGCAGCTTTGGCACCGTGATAACCAGACATCAGATATCTGCTGTATTCTAAGGTCCAGCCTCTGTGACAAGTTTTTCTGGCTTTAAAGAATGAATAATAGGGATAGATATTAATATCATATTTACCAGTAATTTAAACAAAGGCTTCAGTCGAGAGATTATCAAAAAAGTAATACAGTACTTAAATAATTACTAGTATCCATGTTTATCGATATTTCTGTTACAAAAACAGGTTTGTACCTCTGCTTGGGACCTTTGGCCTTTCAGTCCATTGCTATGTAAGAAGAGCTATAGATTAATGACTCAATACCTCACACTGCATTTCTCACCACCATACTGATTTCAAGATTCGAAACATAGTATAAGACTAATTCAAATACGATAAAAATTCATAACCACATTGCCAGTTTTATGGCAAACATATCAAGTACTTTTTGAAATCCCTGATTGAAGATATCAGAAGGTTACCGACTTTGCCATTCCATAAGAAACCATTTCCCCCTCTTATTTCAAAAACGCATCTTGCTCTCCAGAACTGTTAGATTTCAGATTTAAAAAGTAATGGTCTATGGCTAAACTGTTGAACGGGTAATTTTGCACTCTCTGATTTCATGTTGTCCAGAACACTCTTATTTTTACTGAACACCTCCCCTAAATATATTTTACCTTAATCTAGTATTATAGTATCTTTTTCATACTTTTTTATTGAATCTCTTCATTTGTATTTTACTGAATGAACCATATGGAAATAAAACGGAACTCAAAAATATTTTGATAAAATTTGAATTGCCTTAAAGATTAGTTCTGCACGGCACAGCTTAATTAAATAGACATATATTGTATGCAGGGCTAACACACTCCAAACACGTCACATTGTAAACACACATTTACCAGAAACAGTTCTGTACGTTTAATTTGTATTTTAGTATCGAGGTATTAAATGACTTTAATCCTAACCTTTACCGATTTTAATTGTCATATGCGACATCCAAAGCGTGTTTCAGATTAATCATCCAAAGATTAAAGCTACACAAAACACTGTACATTACAAAAATACATGTATAGACTTATAAGGGAAAAAAATAAACTGCATTATTTATTATTCTTTTCCTTTAATGGTTTTTTTTACTATGAGATTTTCTCCCCTTATTTCCAAAGCCTTATTTTTTTTTATCAATAAGGCTTGGGGAGTCTCAGAATGAGAAGTATGAGGGAGGATGTCGAAATTATATGTAAAGATGTTTATCTGTAATTACTTTGTACATTTACGAGAACAATATAAATAAAAAGTATGTTGCATTAACCTACACCTATACACAGACAAACAAACAGGTGGACAGGAGGACAGACATGATGATTTTCAATTAAATGCATGCAACTGAATAATTTCTTTATCAAACCTGGGACGGTGTATACAGCTGTTTTTCCGTGAACTCGACACACAGAGCATGGCACATCATGGAGGCTCAAAGACTTTCTGAAATCGTATGTCCTGAATTCTGCTCCATATATGTACTGCTTGTATCCGTCAAATCCTTCTTTGTAATACCCCCACTGAGGGTCCTTTGGGAGACACAATGGTTCCACAGCTGCCCCGGTATGTGTATAGTACGATCCTCCGGCATAACCTGAAATTGACTGTTAGATTACCCGGCACTGTTCACTACAGGTTTTGTTTTGACGAACTTGAGATATAAAATAAATGTATAATTAAAGGCAGAAGAAAAGTATAAAGCTAAGATATTTTTAAATCACAGAATGCCTTTAAACACACTAAAAAGTCATTGTTGATCGAATAGTTCTAATTTAAGATTGCCATTATTCTGCAAAACATTACTTCCGGAAGAAAAAGTAGCAAAATGGCCGAATGTGGAGAATATGAGATTTTAGCGAGAAAATGAATTTGCTGTCGCTTTCAACATTTCGATATATCGATCGACGACGTTTTACCAATTGACAATAGTTATTTTCCTTAAAATCTCAACCCAATATATTACAGGCAGTGAACTTGAATTAAAAGACACCATAGAGTCTGCTACATCCGTTTCATACTTAGATGTTTTACTGACTCTAGACTTCTATATCCTATCAAATACTATAAAACTATACAACAAAAAGGGATAACTTCAGCTTTTCAATCTTTAAGTAGTAATATTCCACTATCACCTGTTAATGGTGTTTATGTCTCCCAATTGATTCGGTTTGCAAATGTATGTTCTGAGTACGATCAACTTTTGAACCCAGGCAAGCTATTGACAAATAAGTTGATGTTTTTGACTTTTCAACTATGAAAGTCAGCATTTCGCAAATTCTATGGTATTTGTAATGACCTTGTTTGCAAATACAACCTATCATTGGGTCGTATTTTGACTGCCATGTTTCACACCAAAACGTTTTATACCAATTATTCCGTATACCTGATCAATACAGAGGGCTTCCAGCGAATGTGTTCCGTCGAAAGGGGATGTTAACTTCTTTTAGGTACCTTATCCCATTTCTGGTATTTCTAAGAGTGTATTTTTGCCTTGTTCACGATTTATATTCTACTGGAGATATGAGATTGATCACTATTTGTTATCTTCACATCTTTCTATTCAAATGTTATCCCTATATACTAGTGCCCAGCATCACTACTGTTTGGTATAAAAACGCTGAATTGGAACAGTGACTATTCTGACTCCTTCCTCTTACTCCTTTTTTAATTGTGTCTTTATCGTTATGATAAGGTCCCCATCTACTGAAAATGCCATCCTGGATTTTATTTTACTTAACAGAAGTGAAGTGATCGTCATGAAGGAGGGCTTTTCTAGTACAATGTGCAGACTATCCCCCCCCCAAAAAAAAAAACCAAAACGTTGAATGCATAGGAAATTTATGAACCCTCATAACCCTCGAATTTATCGGAGTCACAGGGGACAGGACTATTAATATGATGATGAATTTAAGGTGGGTAGTGAAAGCAACGTTAACATAATTCTACTCAATTGCAAACATAAGTAACTATAGAACTAGATTGATTTTCATCTTTTATAAAATTTACTAAGAAATAAAGGACAATTTAGATATCATAAATAGATAGATCGATTTTAAAGAAAGATAAACCATTAATATGGTTAGCAAGCATAACTCTACGAACAGGGTGTGAAATGTACTCAAGCCAAAACAATGCTTCAGATAGAGATTGATTGTATGTTGTTTAACGTCCCATTCCAGAATTTTTCACTCATATAGAGACGTCACCGTATATCGGTGAAGGGCTTTAAATTTAGATCTTTCTCGGCACTCAGGGCCTTTGAGCAGTGAGGGTCCTACCGTGACGAGGGACCTCGGTTTTTAAGGTCTCATCCGAAAGACCCGTGACTTTCACTTTTAGTGCCGGGCTCTTGGCGAAGGAACAATCACTACCTCAGTTTACTTCTTAGGTTTTACAAGAATCAAACCCGGACCTCCTGATCACGAAGCGAACGCCCTACCACTAGGTTACCCTGAACGGTCTTCAGTTAGTAAGATTTAAAGAGACACTGTGACGGACAAACGGGAAAATTGACAAAAGTAGAATTTTTGCAAGACACATGCAAATTTTATTCAATTCTTGAAAGTATTAGGTTTCAGAAAATTACAGATTTCAGAACCTAAAAAATCTACTTTTATGGAGAAAAATATAAGTAAAAATAATTTTAGTATGCCCCAACACGAAAATATTACTTCACTTCTTCCTCTTTAAGGTACGCATGCGTAGAAAAGTTGAAGAAGTTACCATGGTATGGTGTCAATTCCATAGATATTAATGTTGGATGACCGAAGATTTTGATATAATCTTCAAAAAAGATAATCAGAACTTATTCCTCACTTTTGATTGCCATATAATTCAATGTTGTTTACAAGTTTCACGCTAAAAATAAAAGACACATGACCTTGACATTGTTGACATTGACGATAACAACCACGCCATAGATACAACTTTTCTTTTTCCGGCACTTAAATTTCGCAGTCTTTTCTTGCTTTTACCGTGCAGTTGAGATCTCAAAACTTCGCCTTATTCATATTTCTCATAAATCTTTAGCTTTATGATACAATTATCTTAAAAGAAACACTTGATATTGACTCACTGTGTAACTTTAAGTAAGAAACAATGAGAAAAACAAAGTTAACCACCAACCTGAATATACGAGTTCTACGTTTTGCGCACATGTCTTCTTTCCCCATCGAACGTATCCAGCATTAACATTGTTAACACCTGGAAAGGTGAATTCTATAGGATCCTTACTACAATCTTTGAATATTTTGAAATATAAGTAAGATATATGCCTTACCTTCATCAATGAGGTCTGATTTGAGAACTCTCTTGATTTTCGATATTGACTTATCTGTGTAGAGTTTATTTTTCCCCTCCATATCCTTAAATTTCTGCTTCATTGATTCAGAGAAACTTTTAAATTCCCGCCGTAAAGCTTTCACGTGATACATCCCAATAACAGACAACAGTTGTCTGCTCAAATAACCCTGCAATATCTCTTTGCAACCTCCAACTGCTGTTTCGCCTTTTGTTTCCAGCCAAGGAATAATTAGAAAAAACGCCCGAAACATTCTGTTAAGTGAATATATTGTGGTATATGAACTGCTCTTCTGTGGGGTTATATATAATTATAATACCTTCTATACGTGCTATGTGCTTCGTCGTATATATATATATATATATATATATATATATATATATATAGCATTGTTCATAAATTACATAGCTTGCGTGTGATTTTATTGCTAGTAGGGTGGAACTTGATATTTGTTTGTGAAATAGAGTATTCAACATCATATGTTAGTTGCTTTTAAAACGTACTTTCATAGTTGTTTTCCTGAACAGTTTGATTTTTTCTTCGATTTGTGGAGCGTGATGTGATGATTGATTTCGCCGGTTCTCTTTCAATGTCTCTCTTGAATTTTCTGGTAAGTTGTAGGATCTTTGTATATTTTGTTTATTTAAAGGTTATTTGCCAACATTTTGGAATGTTTGCATCTCCACCCCAGGCCACGAGTAAGAAGAAACGAATCAACTGTATTTTTCAATTAAACGTTCAATTTCAAAAAATAAACATTTTTACACAATCAACTATCTGTAACAGATTTAAGAAGAAAACTCCATGTTTTGATGTACATAAATGCATTATTAACAATCATCGGTAAAATGAATACGTACATAAATCATAAAAAAATGTTTATGAAATCATGGTTTAGTAAAATTGAGAGAAAAATTTCGAATTTAAAATAAGTTAAATGTACGTTAAAGAATTTTTCAATTCTTAGTAACACGTCGTTGATTGTGTCATACATATGTGCATGTTGCTATCGAAGAAGTAACCGGAAGGACACTGTTGAACTGCTGGTCCACTGAGCAGACACTTCAGGAAGTAGTTACAGCCTCGGCATGACTGGTGGTACCCGATACCGATTCTAATACAATCAGATTCCACGTGGCATGCACCTGAAAGTAATTATCGTCGATAATATTTGCTGTTGATTGATGTAACATACTTTCAATATTATAAATGACATGTACATGTTACATTATTATCGACAGTTTAGACTTTCAGTATGCTGTGACATGGTTATTCTAAAATTATTTTTAAACAGTAATGTTTGCTGTATATTTCGAATCAGTAAGGTTAGCAATTGAAAATCGTAAATTTCATAGAGTTAAGTAGTTGCATAAAACGTATGTACAATAGTTCAGACTTACGTCACCTCCATGTTTGTTAGCAATCTCCGAAGTCCAAACTATAAGTGAAATAGTCCTTAATTTCGAGACTTGTTACGAGTTTATTTTGAATAGAAAGGATACCTGTAAAATGCGACTGTCCTGACTGACTCCTTGTAGTAGTGGGCTGTGTTGGTTGGATGGTCCTATGTGTAGTTGTTGTCTTGTGCGTGGTGACGGGATATCCTCCATTATTTATTCCACTTCCTCCAGAACTACTTCCACCTATCCCCGATCCAGTACTTCCGCCTCCACCCAGGCCACTTCCTGTACCAGTTCCACTTCCTGTTCCAGTTCCACTCCCTGTACCACTTCCACTTCCTGTGCTGCTGCTTCCGGAACTCCCAGTGCCAGAACTTCCAGATCCGCCTCCACTTAAAGAATTGCTTGATGGAGGGGGAGTTTGCGTGGTGGCAGGGCCAGGGTAAGACCAATCTAGAAATTTATATTTGCATTGATGTATGATATCACTGCATATCACAGGATTTGTAAAATGACTTTTTAATTTGTATAGAATTAATGTTGGCAATAAAATGTCCCCATCATAATGAATATAATAATGACAATATAATGATGAATAATTCACGTTAAATGAATTGTTATGTTCACACTATAGCTACATGCATGTACACCTGTGCTAAGGCTGCATTTTTATTATTCATATCTTGCCTTTTCAGTTCGATGAAAAATTAATTCCCTTTTTCTATTTTAACTTCATTTTAAGATTTTATTTCGGAAAATGAGAAAAATGAAAGAAAAATGCCTGAAGAGATTACAGTGCTATTTGTACTACTTACATTTTTTCTTCTCGCAGACATAATTAATTGGTATATTACAATCGACGTCATTAAGTTCAGAGTTCACAAATTCTCCGCAGTGTTCCATCCCGGCATAATTATCAGGCATGCCCTTTTTCCAAGGCCTAATTTTGGTAAAGATATATGTATATATTTGAAAAAAAGGTAAGTATTATCTTACATCGAGAAAAGAAGCTAAAACTTGAAAAATTATAATTTTTTTTTAATTTTTCAACAGAAGTACCGATAGTTTTCTTACACTATGTTTGTGTCATGTGGGGCGCCATTTATCCATTTAAAGTTCTGAGAATCAGTGCGAGGAACATTTGACATTCCTATCCAAACTTGGTACAGGAAGTTTGGGAAATATGTTGCTTTGAGTTGATTAAGTTCCTGCTTTACCCACGCCTGAAAAAAATGTACTGCTAGCCAACATTTAATCGGGCTCATTTATTGCTAATAACGTTTTTGATCCTAAAATCTATTCAAGAGGCTTCTTTTCGTGAACAATTTGCATTGCCATAGCAGGTGTAAAAGTCATTTCTTATAATCTTCAATTTGACGTGCATTTCAGATAAATAATACAAAACTTTATTTTTGTATCCAAAGATTGCTATGGATGCATGTAGGGAATCACGTACCTGCAATCACATTCAACTTAAAGTCATTTCCTCGCAACTTTGTTGCGAGAAGATAAGAAACAGGGACAAAGGTTGTTTTACAGTAACCGTTTTGTTCCTACCGCTTCCTGTGTGTCGTCCACCACCAAAAGATCTCCCTGCTGCAGACGACAGATCTGTCGCGCGTCATTGTACGTTTCAATGTTACGTGTCGTCATCAAATAACACGTGTCACTTCCGGGACGTTCCTTCCAGCCTTGTGGGCATACACCATATGGGTCTGGAATCAGGGAAGACAAGAAGTTGATATATCATATCGTATCATATACATGTAGTAAAATAACCAAAATTTTAGGTTTAAAAGTGGTGTTAAAGAAATAAAGTAATTTGTGATACCTGATTTCGTTGGGCATCCTAGCACTTCAAATCGCATAGATATGTGGTTATTCCAGGCAACGGGACGGATTCTGAGATATTTAGCGATGATAGAACACCCAAACATGTTTGTTACCTCCGACTCTTGGTCTGTATTTCCGTTAAATACCTGAATGATGAAAACAGTACAATTTATTTTGATATTAATGATAGTTCTGATGATGAATATGAATTAAAGTTATAACAGAAGTTCAGTTTTAACTTGTGTCTTACTATTTTATTTCCATTAGAGTCCTTTACAGGGCCAAAGTTCACTCCGTCGACGCTGTACTCAACAGTATACTTAGTCACGTGTTCGTTGCAGCATTGTGATTGGACGTCTATATTCCTGCCCTGAGTAACTACTCCTCTAATAACACTTTGGGAGTTAAATTGAACCTGCGTATTAATTCATTGAATTATAATTATATCGCATGGAAATATAAGCTTTTATTAAACGTTTAAACTTGACATTAGCGATCACACACAGACCTGTATGTACTGATTTTTGTCGTTGTACTGGGCTGACCATCCTCCGTTTAGAAATGTTCCATTCTGGTAGTTTAAACTTGGACTGTAAAGCCGACCCCGGTATGGGGCGTAATTACCATTAGAAGTATTACTGTACGTGGAGGAAGCAGTGATTTGACTATCGGCAACTCCACGCGGACCGGAAACTAAGTTCCCGTGACAAACATCTGGACCTGATAGCATGACTTTAAGTGATACCATTATTCTGTCTTAGTTATGATACTTTATCAAAGCTGCTGTATATGGTTCTTAGATTGCGATATTATGAATTGCAAATACATTAACAATATCAAAAATCTGCACATTTATCCCCCTTTAATGATCAGAAGAAACTTGTAAACGTGTAAAAAGAATCATATTTGTACCATTATTTTGTTTGGTTGCTGCGGTAGTTATGGATACTGTGGTAGTGGTTACTGGGGTTGTCGTTGGGAGAGGATTGCAGTCCCACAGGATGTCGAGATACTTTGGAATGCTGGGACATGGGTCTTCTCCCAGAATCCCTGTGTCGGCGGACACTTGACATATATCTTTCCCATTACATCTCTGAGCCACGAATCCCGTCACGCGCCCCGAAGAGTAGCAGTCAATGGTAAGGTGCTTTTTACACACAATGGAATTCGTCCTGCCAAAATTTACGGTCCGAATTTGTATGGTAGTTCCAGTAGGACAAGCGAGTGGTTTTGTTTCAAATTCACAGATGATTTTATTATTGCTAGCCGCTGAAATAATTAACCATACGACGTTTAAAATTTTAAACAATTAACAAATGCAAATTAATGGTGCAAAAAGGTTGAAGAACAAAATATGTAAGATTATATTCTAAGCAAAATGTCAAACCTTTCCCTTTTGGGACACACTACATACAGTATTTATACCTAAGATTAGTCTACTTACCGAGTACAATGGCAGGAAACACTGCAATGAAGAAAAGAAAAAAAGTGTAACAACAAAACTACCCTAGTCACTGCTAACAAAATATTTGACTATCTCAGTCTTCAGGTTCTTAATATTTGTAATTATTTGAGTTATTTGATTCAGGAGTTTTTATTAGTCAAAGAATATGATAAAAAGTTTTCCGTGCATTTCAAACTTTTTTCTGAAGCGTAATGCTCAGTAAGGAACGTTTTCTCGAAGTGATGCATGGACATTTGCGCCAAATATACATCGTACCATCTTGCGAAATATCTACGAAATAAATAATGGTTATTTTGTTTAAGACGTATCACTTGTTGTTGAATACAAACCTGTTGCATAAAATAATTCCAGAGATTTCATAATTGAGTATTTTAGAGAAATAGTCCTTTGATTAACACGACAATCTCGCTGTTATTGTATCCCCTCAGTAATAATACATTCTCTTCCTATCTAACGCTATTTAATCTGCTCAGAATTGGACCGAAATTGTTTATAAACATTATATAGAAAAGTCCCCACCCCACATCTTTAAACAAGCAATTTTATCTTGACCATGCCATCAAATTCTCGACAAGAGCACATGTAATGGATTTGTTTATATCAATTTGAATTCAGGAGTCATGAATCCATTGATCACGTGACACGACGAAGTGACCATTCATTAAGTACAACCAACAGATTCCAGTTAAACGGTGCTTTTGTTGCTATGTGGCAATCTTTAAACAACATCAAATAATCCTCAAGTACGTTCATGAATGATGTGTCGTCATACAAATGTTTTAAGGAAGTATAGTAAAGCTTATATTTGATATTTTTTGCTACAAACCGGAACCACCTACCGGTACATAAATGTCCAGCAGAGTATTAAACACTTCAGTTCGTCACCACTTGTATGTCGCCTTACCCTGGCTACCTTCTCTCTGTAGGGGTAACCCTTCTCGTGATTTGTCTGATCAAGTAGCCCTCCAATCCTGATATTTTATTCCGTCTCCCTATCCTTCTCTATCATCTATGTTCGCTTTATAAATTGTTCTGGAATTTGCTTGTAAAAGTAATCATTGCTATCTCAGCTACCGGCAACTCATATAAGTAAAGATGTATTTCAAACATGCATAGAATGTATGAACTTGTTTTCAAATCAAAATTTAACCATGTTATTAACAGTTGTAATCATTAAAGGCGAGAACCTCGTAAGTTGTGTTAGAACCTTTTTGTATTATATTGATACATTTAAATATGTTCAAGTTAAGTATAGTTTTCTAGGACCTTTTTTGGCTTTAGAATAGTCTACTGTTTTGGAGTATTTTTCTTTGAAAAAAATGTTTTTGCGATGTTCGGCTGCTTAAGTAAATGCTTTGGTTTCTTCCTGAGCGTCGGGTATATCATGTCCGGATCCGAGATGTTACGGTTAGATGTAGCAGATTGAACAATTTAAATGAAAAAAACAGAGAAACAAACAAACAAAACAGTTTAAAGCTAAATTTATCATTTGATGAACAGTCTAATGAAAACTAGAATAGGTATCATCAGATTTAAAATACTTTAAAGTTTAATGTATAACATAGAATCAGTATCTTTCACATATAAGTTAATGAAAACAAAATTAAATAACATTGAAACACATATTTTGAGTGCTTATTGCCTCTAAATGTATATATACCCTCTCCTTGTATATTAGAAACAGGAATTACCGCTATACGGGTTTCCTTGTGGTTTTTGTGCCCGTACAACTTCCTTGACATAGCCAAATATTTACGACAGTTGTTCCAAAATTCCGTATAGACAAGTGGCTTTTCAATAAATTGTTACTGAGAAATGATATTTGTACAAATCAAAGAACACAAAGTATGCAACAAAAATATGTAAAAATGTTAAATATTGTACGAGATTCAATTGGCGAAGTGCAGATATTTTATATAATAAAATGAGAAGCGGGGCTATTTCTAAAACAAATTAAAATCATCCGAGAGAACGTTATTCCAAAGCATGAAAAGGGATAACAAATACAAAATAGAACATTCTTATTGCACGCGGGATTTTTTTGAAAAGAAATGGCAGTGCCACTTTATTCTGTGCTTATATATATATATATTTTTTTACATTAATACAGAATATAAGTACAACAATAAATGGATAAATATATCTCTGTTTAGTGCTTAACAATTTTGTAGAGGTATTTGGTGGGTTGGTGCTTATCGATGGAACAGTCTTTCGTGACTTTTAACCCTCGCATCCTAAGCAATTCGATTAATTCATAGCAAAAGACAGCTTAATACTCTAAAATTATGATATTTTTAAAAACATGAATGCACATGGTAAGACTTCCTGCGGTCCATTTGCATTGTTTATTGTTTAATTAGATTATACTGGTCCATGATCCACGGTCATTTTAGTGGCATAGAGATTATTAGAATTTACCAACATCCGAATGAACGTCTCCCCATTCTCCTCCAAATGTCAAATGAATTACATTGTATCTCTAACAGGATTAATTAATCCTCTTGTTTACAACACAACTATATGGTTGTTCAACAACGCTGCCTTTAGCCGTTTAAGAATCGAACAAACAGTGAACTTATTACTTATCCGTATTTGGCAAACCTTTTCTTTACGTTATGGGAACTTTCTAAAATCATTCAAGAAACTTATAGAATGATAAAACAGAAAAATTCCCTTTTCCTTTTCTTTCAGTCTAAATTGGTGATCAAGAATATTGGAAACGAAAACCGTGAAAAAGAAATTAACTGAAGTTTCAAAATGGTACACGCAATTTTTTTCACAGTCATTTAAATTTCTTGCAATAAAAATTATCTGCAAATATACCCCGATTCTGACGAACGATTGTTTTAGGAACATGTAAATAAAAGAAAGGTAAGAATCAACCAATCAAAGGTAGCTAAAAACTATTGTTCCTCTCAAGGTGGTTAATATGCGTCAGTAGAAGGGATCATGATCTCTAGATTATTAGAGATTAATTCATTTTCATACACGCCGGATCAGTGATTTAATCTGTGTTTGATTTGAAAATCTCAACATCCATCATAACAATAAACCTTGGTCAAAATAACTAGGATTAAATATATTGATGTGTCGGTGTGTTGGTGTATGCGCAGTTTCCTTCACCAATGAATAAATATTTAAATAGATCGATATCACTGCATTATTGAGTAGAGAGAATCCTGTGTTCCAATCGAGACTGAGTTGTTATCGGTCTGTTCGCGTTAATCACCGGGTAATTGACCCCTTTTTAAAGAGTACACTTATTCAATGTTTTAGGGTGGTTTTATTGAACCTTATCTCTGTGGTCCTTTGGAGGAAAAGCCTATTTCTGAGGAAAGTAAAAGTTCAAAATAAAGGAGAATATCAAAGGTATACGGACTTTTTTCTAACTCTAAAGGTCAGTTGGTCTTCAGTATATTCCTAATAATGAATTTCGTTTTTAATAACTGTTTTTGATTTGTACTTGGTAATGAATCGCACTGGTAACATTTATACATCCATAACTACCTGGCATGAGGTAGAATTTTATTATCAAGCAATGTTTCCATTCTACGTTTCTATTAATGTCTAATGGTCTTTGACGTATATATTCAGGTATAGATATCCAAGATGGCGTTATCTTGTGGAGGAAAATGTATGAAGTTATTTCTGATTGTTGTCAACACGATCTTTATGGTACTGTATGTTTATATTGTTGATATACAATTTCATTGGAATTTAAAAGTGTAAACAGGATAATGTTTGATAAATGTAAATAAAATTAAACTTTAATACGTTAGCGTATAGCTATGGCAATACAGTCCTTCCGGTGCTACTTTTAGATATCTTTATGTAATAAACATGATAAAAAACACAAAATGAAAAAGTAAAATTAAAAATCATTGACAGAGAGCAGTGATTTACAAGGACTGTGTTTATATGGGATATCCTCTGAACAGCTTCATTGCTCTTGTTCGAAATTCTTCATTTCTGCATTGAATGAAAACAAAATCAATATCTTGAAGATGTAATCATTATAGATGGGCTGCTGATGTCCAAAATCAGTACAAGCATAATTATCACCATAATCCTCACTTAAAACAAAATCACGTGTTACTTTTAGTTGCTCGGTCTCGGTATCCTTATACCAGGGATTTTGATGTTGGTTGATGTTGACGTCATCAATGATAACATACTCCCCCTGCTGAAGCAGCTGTCATTCGGTGCACTAAATGTGGGCGACCTTGCCAAGGGACTGTCCTTGACACTGATAATCTTTGGTACATTCGTCCTCATTGTGTCAATGCTTGGCTGTTGTGGTGCCATGTGTCAACAGAGACTGTGCCTCGTCGTTGTGAGTTGTTTTCATTGAGTTCACACTACAGCCTGTGTCTATACATACTGAAAAAGCTTTTGAGCTTGTTAACACTATTACAAATTAGAAGGACATTGTCTCTTTCAGTATGCTGCACTAGTGTTGGTGTTCTTCCTGGCTAAACTGGTGGTCGTCATCTTGTGGTTCGTTATGAACGACAAGGTAAATTTAGCTCTTATGTAACATTTAATAAGAAAAATAATCAAAGCTGCAGTTTTTAGTGTGTGCAAAACACTTTTTCTATTGCATTCAGATCCAAAGTTGGATGAAAACGGAACTGCTTAGCCAGCTCGAGACGAACTATAAACATAACGATCTGACGTCAGAGGAAATTTCTACGGCCTGGAACTATATGTTTATGACTGTAAGTGCCCTCTATCACCTCCCTTTCTTGTATCTCTTAATTCTCTTTTTAACCATGTGTCATGTATTGAATTTACATTTCTACAACAGCTGTCCTGCTGTGGAGTCAATGCAGTCACAGGAACGACAAATGACTTTGATAACTCGGTGTGGATCGCTAGTGCCGGAAGTAAAGAAATCCCAACATTCTGTTGTTCAGGGGTCACAGCCTCAAATTACGCCAGCTACTCCAACACTGCGTGCACGGACTCTGTTACATCAGGTTACTACACCAAGGTATTACAATGTTATCATCTTTTAAAAGAATACCTTAGGAAAATCCTTTGAAATATATATTAATCCCTCCATGACTGAACCTTCGACAGGAAGTACTTCCCCTCGGGCAAGCCCTACCCTCGGGGAAAAGTTCTTGTCACAGGTTTGATAAAAGAAATATCCGACTCACAACCAGTTGATAAGCCTTTTAAATTTGAATTTCCTTAAAACGACTTGTCTAAAAACTTCCCAGAATTTTTATTTTCGCAAGCGCATTTGCATCCTGTGAATTTTGATGCAGTGCATGATACATGATATATACATGATGTGTCCAAGACGAAATCTTTTCCGATTTACAATATATAGTCAGTGGGAACCAGCGAAAACCTCAGGCTTGTTTACTACACTGTACTAACTAAACAGTATTATGACCCTTCCAAAGGATTGACAGTTTAAAAAAGTTTCTACTACATTGCATAGTAAATAAGAGAGAGATAATAAATCAATATGACCATTTTCTTTAAAATTAGCAAAAAAGTATCAAAGCAATTCAAGTAATTCAGCAACAGGCGTGCATAACATTATGAGTTTTAAAAATATGAAAAATGTGTATGAAATATAGTGTTAAAGAGTAAAAAGACGGATTTGGACAAAAATATTGAGACGTGTTTGTTCGATATTGAGACTGTGTATGTGTTTGATTTGATATTTTCAGGGATGTTATGACGCCACATATAGTTTACTGGACACATACAGCACGGTATTCATGGCAACCGGAATCTGTATCCTACTTGTGGAGGTAAGCAGGGTTACGTTTATGTGTCATATAGCTCTTCATAATGCAAACTCAGCGTTCAATAAACGATAACATTCTCTAGACTTTTAATAGTTTTTTTTTTCTTTATTATACATTATTTTTTAGCTAAATAATAATAAAGGATTTATTGAACTTATATTGATGAATATTGGCACTCGTTGGCAAGCTCGTGCATTTGTTTTGCCAACTCGTCACCAATAAAAGTTCAATGGCCCTATACTATACAACAGACAGGCAGAAGGCTGCATGACATTAGCAGAAAGACAATATATGACAACTTGGGTTATTAAATTTAATTTAGTATAAGTAAATCTGTTTACATTTCTTATTAACAGCCTTTATTACTTATCTCATGTATATTAAAGACGTGATAATTAATAAAGTAGGTATACATGTACATGTTCTCAATCTGAAGGACACGTGCTCTGTATGTGACTTTGTAGTTGTTGTCGATTTTGGCGGGAATTATACTGATCTACAAAGTAGGTCAGTCACGTGCTGAAGATCAAAAGGAACAGACCAAATAGGTATTATATGGGCATGGTCATTGTCTGCACTTTGGATGAGGAAAACTTTTCATCCTCTTTGACAAGCTTAAAAAACCCACCTCGAATACATTCATCAAATATAGATAATATGCATTCACGGATAAAAGTAATATTAATTAATAGGTATATCATCGGATATACAATACATACAATATAGAAGTATCCACGGATATAAGTATTTAACCTTTATTCCCAGATTTACGTAAATAGCCGTATCCCCATATATAAGTAATATAAATGTATTCGCATATATAAGTAATAAATCTTTATTCCCAGATAGAAGTAATAAAGCTACATTTACAGATATACTTAAATACCTTTATCCCCAGATATAAGTAATATAGATGTATTCGCAGATATAAGTAATAAAGCTGTATTTCCAGATATAAGTAATATAGATGTATCTGCAAATATAAGTAATATTGCAGTATTCCCAGATATAAGTAATATTATAATAGCAGTATTCCCAGATAAACGTAATATAACAGTATTTTCTGATAAACGTAATATAGCAGTATTCCCAGATAAAAGTAATATAGCAGTATTTTAGGAATGACTCTAATTCTTGGCCAAATTATTCGAGTATAACCTGGTTTGGGTCAGTTTACGCTGTTTTATAATCCGCTTCGCGGATTATAAAGCGTAAACTGACCCAAACCAGGTTATTCTCGAATAATTTGGCCAAGAATTAGAGTCATTCCTTATAATTTAATTTTAAAATCATTAAATATCTATGGGTGTAAAATTTCGTTGCTTTTTATTAGTTCAAATTTGCCGCTCAATAATACAACCGTAGTAACGGAAGTGATGGGAAGCGAGGGGAGGTAAAAACTGATACATAGGCTTAGCAGTCTTGTTGTTTGCTTACATGTGGTAATTATAAGATCGAATTATTGTATGAAGTTAAAGGTACATTTATTAAATCTGGAATTTTCCATGAATCCCGAGGACTGGAAATGAGAGGATAAACGTAATATAGCAGTATTTCCTGATAAACGTAATATAGCAGTATTCCCAGATAAACGTAATATAGCAGTATTTCCTGATAAACGTAATATAGCAGTATTCCCAGATAAACGTAATATAGCAGTATTTCCTGATAAACGTAATAAAGCAGTATTCCTAGATAAACGTAACATAGCAGTATTCCCCCTTACACGTAATATAGCTGTATTCTCAGATAAACGTAATATAGCAGTATTCCCCGTTACACGTAATATAGCTGTATTCTCAGATAAACGTAATATAGCAGTATTCTCAGATAAACGTAATATAGCAGTATTCTCAGATAAACGTAATATAGCAATATTCTCAGATAAACGTAATATAGCAGTATTCTCAGATAAACGTAATATAGCAGTATTCTCAGATAAACGTAATATAGCAGTATTCCCCGTTACACGTAATATAGCAGTATTCTCAGATAAACGTAATATAGCAGTATTCCCCGTTACACGTAATATAGCAGTATTCTCAGAAAAACGTAATATAGCAGTATTCCCCGTTACACGTAATATAGCAGTATTCTCAGATAAACGTAATATAGCAGTATTCCCCGTTACACGTAATATAGCAGTATTCCCAGATAAACGTAATATAGCAGTATTCTCAGATAAACGTAATATAGCAGTATTCCCCGTTACACGTAATGTAGCAGTATTCTCAGATAAACGTAATATAGCAGTATTCTCAGATAAACGTAATATAGCAGTATTCTCAGATAAACGTAATATAGCAGTATTCTCAGATAAACGTAATATAGCAGTATTCCCCTTTACACGTAATATAGCAGTATTCTCAGATAAACTAATATAGTAGAAATAATGAAAATAGCAGTATCCACAGTAGACTCTGACAACTCTGTACCTTGTTTTTTTTTAGTTAATTTCTATGTTATACGTAACTTTTAAAATTAGAAAATAGTTCTTTGTTTTATTGGAATTATATTTAAAATTGAAAGCGATTCGCTAATATCCATCATGTAAGTTTGTTCTATGCATGGTCAGTGTGACAATTGATACTTATTAGATGTTTTGCCAGGATGCCTGATGGTGACTTATGTGTTAGTTTTTCTACAAATAAAATAATGAGGTTTTTTCCGCTTGTCGAACAGGGCTGAAAAGTTGCAATGGGACATAAGCATGTAAAGTGTATGGTGATTTTTATTGTTTTTGAAAAAAAGCAAATTGTTTTATATGATGTATAACACTTAGGATTTTCTCATTTATTGCCCTGTCCCAGTTCAATTTTTTTTGAAAAGAGAACATTATGTATTATCTTTTTGTTGAACTAGTACTGTCTATGTACGAAAGCCTATTAGGATCAAACTACGGTAAAAAAAAATATTTAAAAGGCGTTATAACGCCTTTTGAAAAGGCGTTATAACGCGAAAAAAGGCGTAATAACGCCTTTTGAAAAGGCGTCATAACGCGGAAAAAGGCGTAATAACGCAAATATAGGCGTAATAACGCCTTTCCAAAAGGCGTTATAACGCGAAAAAAAGCGTTATTACACCTTTCCAAAAGGCGTTATTACGCCTTTCTAAAAGGTGTTATTACGCCTTTCAAAAAGGCGTTATTACGCCTTTCCAAAAGGCGTTATTACGCCTTTGTAAAAGGCGTTATTACGCCTTTTAAAAAGGCGTTATTATGCCTTTCCAAAAGGCGTTATTACATGACTTACTTAGCCCATCTTGGGGGCTGATTATAATTAGATTTCCAGGAAAAAAGATCTTTAAATGTGTAAAATATTTTCAGTGTTAAACCAACTTAGTCCTTCTCTGATGCCAGACGCCTCTACCAAGGTGCATGAATTTCAGAAATTTGGTTGAAGGCTAATTGCTCATTATACCTATGCAAATAGTTTGCCTGTTTTTTTCCAAGAGGAGAGATAAATATTTCAAATTTGACATGAATTTTTAATACGTGGCTAACAAAGCCCAAAGCTGGTTTTGCCTATATCCTGGATTTTCAAAAGTAGAGTGTTAACTTCTCTTAATATGCATGCAAAATGCAAACAACTGTCCGCGAGATGTGCAGGAATATAGAAAATACTAAAATTTATAATATAATTTATAATATTATAACTATAATCTAAATATTGCATAAATAAAGATGGCTTTGGTTCAATCTTTCATATATTTACTATTTTAAAATAACGCCTTTCCATTTTTGGATATATCTTCTTTTCAAACAGGCCGGTAGTAAGAATACGAGGGGGGGGGTTCCCCCTCCCAACTTTTGGGAGAATAGTCTTGCTATAGTTTAAATATAAAAAATCATTTATTGATTGTTTGGTCCCTTAACATTTTGTTGCAGTATGGTTAAACTCAGGCAAGTCATTGCATTTAAAAAAAGGTTTACCGAAAAGTTAGAAAAAAGTTTCCCCTCAAGTTTAGGCAGTTTATTTGGGGGGGGGGGGGTGCTTCTTGGTTTTTTTTTTTTTTGATTGCTTGTCAATTTTATGGGACCCCCCCCCCCCACTTCAAAAGCATGGGCCTGTCAAAGACATAATAATGGCCCTTCAAAAGGCATAATATCTCCTTTTTGAATGGCGTATTAATGCCTTTTAGAAAGGCGTAATAACGCCTTTTAGAAAGGCATAATAACGCCTTTTGGATAGGCGTAATAACGCCTTTTTAAAAGGCGTAATAACGCCTTTTGGAAAGGCGTAATAACGCCTTTTGGAAAGGCGTAATAACGCCTTTTTTCGCGTTATAATGCCTTTTTGAAAGGCGTAATTACGCCTTTATTTGCGTTATTACGCCTTTTTCCGCGTTATAACTCCTTTTGAAAAGGCGTTATTACGCCTTTTTTCGCGTTATAACGCCTTTTGAAAAGGCGTTATAACGCCTTTTAAATATTTTTTTTTACCGTAGTTTGATCCTAATTTAGGCTTTCGTATCTATGCGCAGGATTCCTAGTGCATTTGGGGATAATTTGGTCATTGTCACTCGTTAGTTTCTTTTTATGTTCTCGTATTACAATAGTAAAATGATGTCAAAAACTCAATGGAATATGACCAGTGATCTAAGACACCTTGTTAATAGTGCAATCTGAAATAAATTGGTCATTGATTGTCATTCTTCAGTTTCTATAATGTTCTGGTTTTACTTGTATTGCAATCAAAGAAAACCATATATCAAATTCGACATCATTAGACCATGAGCTGCTACCTGCTTATATCATATTCCTAGTAGTAGTATATCATGCACCTAGTAGTGTATCAGCCCGGATACAACTGAGGCCTGTTCAACAGAGCGAACGTTCGCGAGCGCTCGCCAGAATTCCTTATACCTTCAACAGAAATGTTCGCGAGCGCTCGCACTGTTGAACAGGCCTCTGGTTTTGACTTGCTGAGACAGCTGTCTGGAGCAAGAGCTGTGCCGATCTGAGGGCGAGATCACTCAGTTTTGCCCTGTTACTAAAGGGCGTATCACCCTCAATTTCAAACCACTATTTCTCTTTGTATAATGTTATTTAAGACTATTATTTGAATTGAAGTGTGAAAGAAATGTATATTGTACTCTAAATTGCATTACTTATTTATTTATGCTTCAGTATTGAGAAAATTGTTTTTAAAAAGTGCGCCAAATGATGTTGCTTGTATTACATAAAAGAGGAAACTCTTGGTTACTCAGAACAAGAAATGGAAACATATTTGTTTTTGACTGTAAAAACATACAGAAAGTTTTTCTTTAAATGTCATGTTTAAATAATTATGTATTCTTAGCTAAAATTTAGTTATTAGAAACCTCTGGCCCGTGATGACAGGTAGCACGTTTGATCCAAAGTTCCAAACTCAGTAAACTGAAATTAGATCTCTGAAGTTTTGTGACCTTGACATCTTTATAATAAAATGTGGTATAGTTAGTACAAAATTTCTAAATTACATGTAATAATCATATATATGGCTAAATGCTTTATCGTCATCATTATTCACAATTAGAACTCGATCCTCCATACTTTTCAAATGTTATGACTATTGGCTGCAATCTTTTGGAACAATCCCAGAGGGCAGGATTCTCAATTTAGTAGCTTTTGTAGTTTTCTTGTTTGTAACTTTGTCATTTGACTGGAAAAAATATTTGCATCTAATTTTATTATTACTCCAGGATGGGGCTACCTACATTGAAAGGGGAAAAATAAACTTACACTGTGGATTTATCGGAACACGCCCAAATGTTTGGTAGCCAAGAGAAATCTTTTTTCCCCTTTGACATTTTGGTTGACCCCGCAAAGGGACACAAATTTTGCAAAGTGTGTATTGGACTATTCAGCGACATAAGTTTAGTAGTTTATCTTTACATCCTTTACGCGGTCTTTCGGATGAGACTGTATAAACCGAGTTCCCGTGTCGCAGTAGGTTACACGAAAAAGATCCCCCACTGCTCAATGGCCCTAAGTGCCGAGTATAGGTATAAATTTGCAGCCCTCCACCGCCAAGTAGTGACATCTCCGCATGAGTGAAAGATTCTCGAGAGGGACGTTAAACAACAAACAAACTTCCTTTACGAAGATCGAATACAAAGATGGATAACTCTAATTTTATTTATTGCAACTAAAATACGAATTCAATATAATAATGTAATCGACATTTTTTCTTTAAAAATTCTCTGGTTTTAATATATATGATATAAACAACATCACACTTCTGTTTTGTGTTGGAATGTCAGTGTATAATTAAGTTTGATGTTAAGTTAATGAGTATTTTCAAAGAAGTCTGTAGTGGAACTAGATTATATGCGAAATAAGTCCAGAGTGTGGTGAGGAAGTACTGTATACCCCTTTATAAGTCGTTTGGAGGACCGGATGGGCTCAAATTTCCGTTCAAAAGTCTCAAACTGTGTGAAAAGAACTTGAAAATGCAAACTGGTCCCTGGTTTAAATTGATAAACATGTAAGGTGCAACGCGGCCGAACCATTTCCGTTTCAACATACGTCATTCTTCCGATTTCAGCAAAAACGCAGTGTCATTGTCTCATCCTTCAAGGATGAATTTAGTTAATTACAGTTTAACAATTGTGTACATAAAATTTATATAAAGAAGGGTTGTGTTGTGTAGATTTTAAGCATGGTTAATTTTTAAACGATACACTTTATGAGTTAATGTGACATTGGTGATGGTATCAAAAACTGCACTAAATACAGGTGTGGATCCAGGATTTTTTTCCGGGGAGGAGTGGGGGGGGGGGGGGTTCACCCCAGGCAAAAAAAAATTTCGACCCAGAAATTTCTTGGCAAGAAAAAAGTAAACTTCATTCCAAACGTGAAAAGCCTAAAAGCTAGCATATTTCGGAAGGAGGTGGGATGGGAGGAGGGGGTTAGCCTCTCCACTTCACTGCTTAAGCTTCATATATATAATTTTTTCGACCAACCTAACAGGGGTCTACATTTTCGAAGGGGGGGGGGGGTGTCCAAAGTCATTCTTTTAATAACTCTGCAAAATCCGGGTGGGTGCCCCCCCCCCTCCATCCCTTCTCTAGATTCGTGCATGGAGTAATTCGATAAACATCATTTTCAGTACATATTAGAACCGGTAATTGTAGGCGCCTCTAGATATCAATTAAAATCTTGATACACAATTTTGGCAAATTGTTAGATTCATTAGTTCTTACACCTATACTTGTTATCCTAATTTGTGGTGACCCGAAATATTTATCTACCCAGTATTTAACCTCTGACGAACTAAAATATCAAAATAACGTCAGAAAAGTATATGCGATATATATATAATTCTCCAAACACACTGCTATTATAGCACATACAATACAAGTATATGCACATGTCATACAAATTTCTTTTGAAAACTGTCTCCAAGGATGTAATTGGTTGTGTATTTTTGTCATTGCATGAACACAGTTTGTCTTCCGCTTCGTCCATGTTAGTAATTTCAAGTATTTCTTGAATATAACTTAAATCTAGTTAATTTTTCAAATTCATTTTTCTTTTCCAGATTGTTGCATTCATTGGATCCATTGTCATCATAAAGCAAGGAGGGGAGGACGGAAAGAGTTTATCTGGTGCCGCCAAAATGGTGTAGCAGAAAAATGTTGTTCTTAATTCCGTCCAAAATTTATTTATATATACATTGTTGTTTTGAATGGTGTTTCTTGTTTACTTAACAACTTCAGAATGTTTCGTCCACCACTTGACAAAATTTGATCCTGGTGCTAAAAGTTTCACCATTCAATCCTTACTATGTTTGTCTCTCTAGTTAGCTATTACGTTTAATATTGTCTTATATTTAGCATAGTACCAAATGCCATGTTGTTTAAACAACATTTTATCTTTTCACAATTGCACCAATAAGTGTAATATAAGGTTTTGTGTTATTAGGGCCTACTTTCCTGAAATTTAACATTTTTGAAAACATAATAGAGTTGTAACTTTTCTGTTTTATATTTAGCTGAACAACAAATATCTGAGATGACTTTGAAACATCGGCCTACTTGCTAAATGACGTATGGTAACTGTTGTTGATAGTGTATATATATTATTAATTGTTGATAAAAATAAATGTATAAATCACACCTTTGTTTATTTTTCAATCTGTAAAAGAGCTGTCAGTCTTGGTTCCTTACACCATTAATTCTTATCAAGTTCAGTTCTTTTCATGTTATATATCATTTCATTAACCATGTACAAACGACAATACGAACCCGCTATACACATGATCACTAAAGAGCTCTGATTCTACTGTATTTTTAGGCAGTATTGAGTATACTCAATATACTTTGATCAAAAACTTGGCATGCCATTTCAACCCGAAGAGCCTAGTCGAATAGTCGGGGGCATTAGTCGAGCGATAGTGGAGTACTCACTAAAATATTTTTCCTTCATGTGGTTTAATTCAATATGTCCTTTTCAAAAACAAAACAAAAAGGACTGCTTGTGAGCTTATACAAAGTGAGATTTGTCAACCAGTTCAAATTCTTATTACATTGACCTTTCAAATGACCTTTGACAAAATCACTTTGTAAGAAGCTTTTGAAGATATTTTCGTCAAACTTCATGCACATCGTCATGTACAAATTTTCATGTTGCTAATGAACCCTGGGCGGGGCGTTCATGTCCTGTGGGCATATTTTCTGTTTTATTTTATTCCATTACATGAATTTTCAGAAAGCCTAACCTGACTACAAATTTCCCCAGATGACTCAAAACGACTGTGACATATTTACCAATTCATACAAAGAATTCTTGATTGTTGTGGTCAGACTCGGTTCAAAATCACCTTTTCAATTGACACCATTTCAACGTGCCTGGTTCCAGGTCGATGAATAACCCATGACTGGTATACACTTATAGTGCACTTTTAAAAGAGGGTTGATCAATAACCCATGACTGGTATACACTTATAGTGCACTTTTAAAAGAGGGTTGATCAATAACCCATGACTGGTATACACTTATAGTGCACTTTTAAAAGAGGGCTGATCAATAACCCATGACTGGTATACACTTATAGTGCACTTTTAAAAGAGGGTTGATCCATGCTAAAGTAATGTCATAACTGCTATAGAATCTTTAATAATCGAAAATTCTCAAAACTTGAAATATTAATACCTCGATCTATTTTGACTTTTGCCCAAAAGTTTCAATCAGATATATGGAATACTTTATAAAATATTAAAATAAACACAACGTTGGGTGTTATCGATCGCCGTGTAACACGGTAAGAATGTACCGACGTCGTTATGATCTTTCATGTTGAATCTGATGATGCAAAAGATTTACGCAAAAAGGAATGAAGTTAGAAACAACATTTGGACATGATTCAAATTATTTTAATGCTACAACTTAAAACAAGACTGTTTATAGCTAAATGGCAGTAAAGATGAGAAAGAAACACGTGAGAGATTAAAAAGATATGCGGATGAACTGAAAATGAGTGCCGAAAAGTAACGTCATAACGACGTCGGTAATAGTCTTACCGTGCGGCGACAGGCAAAACCTTATGTTGTGTTTATCTTAATATTCCAAAATGTATTTTATATAATCGAATGAAATTTAAGGCAAAAAGTCATAATAGATAGGGGTATTAGTATGTCAATTAATGTTGATATCATTTAAATATTAAAGATTTCATAGCAGTTGTGACATTAAATTTGGATCAACCCTCGTATTATCAAACATTTTTAAAAAAAAATGGGGAAAATAATGATCATAATATTTGGTGCAAACGACAAATCCATTGAAATTAGCTCATATGAGACATAAAAAGAGATATCAAACTACACATAGGTCATATGCTCAAGCATATGCTCAAGTATGTAATCATTTTTATAAAGAAACATGGAGATAATCAAGCCCAAAAGTCCATTGAAACAATACAATTTCAGCAGAGCAAAGACGGACATCTAAAAACATGACAGGTGGGATTAGGTGCCATGGATGAATAAGTATCCCCTGTCGACTGGGCAAACGAAAAAATCCGCACTAGACAATTCAGTGGGAAAATAATGGCCTTACAATTTATATGAAAAACGGCAGTCAACATGATTTGACTTAATGATAGATTGTATTATTTTCTGAAAAAGTAATTTTATTGACCATAGATTTTTCGAAATGTTAACCTTAAACGAGACTGTTGATATCCTTGTGTCATAAGCTTGTTTATCAATAGCTTGTTTGAAGACATAAACTCCATACGCAGGCGATAATGGTATATTGCTATATAAATAAGGCAAGTTAACGATAGAAAAGTTGAAGTCATCACGTTTTTTTTTTGTTTTTTTTTTTGAAAAGTTTTGTTTTTAGGTTACCATTAATGTCTTTTTTCTAGTAAAATATCCAAATATCAAACAGATGTTTTAGAACTTTGTGGTATCTTTTATTTCGAGTTAAAAGGGATACATCGAATCAACGTAGGAATGAAAATGAACATTGTTAATTGATAAAACGTTGTCGATATATGTAAAACAATAATAATTTGATCCACATTAGAGGGGTGTCAAAGGACTTACACCAAAATACCAGATGAAGAAAAAAATTCAAGTCATAATACTCGTTGACATCCCTAGAACAAATGAATTGAAATCTACAGTGTACATGTAGGCTATATTACGTAGTTTGTAATCAACTCAAGCATTGTTAACAATTCAGTATGCAAAGATAATGATTTGAATTGTATTTTAGAGGAACTAGGATTTAATTCTGCAAGTTATAATCCAACTTATACCTATAGTTCCCTTTCTAATGAGAAAATTCTTCAAAATCATGTCTGTTTTAAATATTTTTAATATCCCCAACAGTCAAAATGAATTTGAATTACCAAATCTATATTGTTTTCAAAAACTCCATAAAAATCCTTACAAACAAAGATACAATAGCGGGTTTCAGTAAACTACCAAGCCTCTTTCTTTACTCCTCGCTAAAATATTTACAGCAGTAAATGAGAAACCTCAGGAGTACTGTACAACAGTATATTTGAGAAGTGGTGTAAATCAGATGTGGATACTTAAAAACTCCGAGGAACTTTTACAAAATTTGAAATCACAAAATTTTATCAAAAATCAATAACACCAAAACGTACGACTTTTCAACACTTTATACAACCATGCCCGACAATAATTTTAAGTCCAGGCTTTTTGACATTATAGACAGCTGCTTTTTCAATAAAAATGGAACTCGTTAATATGCTTACCTTGTCATTGGTCATTTACAAATTTATTTTGCTAAAAAGCTTGCTAATTGTACACACAAGTACTCTGAAGTTGATATTTAAAAGATAATTGAGTTTCTGATCGACAATATCTATATAGTTTTTGGAGATAAGGTCTTTCAACAATCTGTTGGAATACCCATGGGTACCAATTGCGCCTCCTTGTTAGCAGACCTATTTTTGTGTTCATATGAAGCAGAATTCATTATTATTAAGACTTTGATGGTAAGCTAACAACAAAGCTTTATGATAAACGTGATGACTTCAATTTTTCAATCGTCAACTTCCCTTACTTATGTAGCTATATACTCTTATCACCTGCATTGGGTTTTTGTCTCCCAGTTGATTCGATACGCAAGAGCATGCTCTACGTATGAACAATATCTAAACGAGGCATCTCGTTTGAAGTCATCATTTTGCAAGTTTTATGGTCGATAATGACCTTGTCAGCAAATACAACCTATTATTAAGTCTTTCTTTGGATACCAACATCTTTGACCTTTTGACCTATGAAAGCTCTATCAGCTGCACTAATTGTTAAAAAGTTATGGTCAAGGTTAAAGTTCGGTAAAATTTGCAAAATTGGGTCAAGGTCAAGGTCAAATATGATGGTGCCCAAAGAAAGCTCTTGTCACAAGGAATACACATGTGAAAGATGAAAGTCATAGCTCAAACCAATCAAAAGTTATGGACATGTTAAAGTTTTTGTAGGCAAACAGACAAACAGACGGACGGACAGGGCAAAAACTATATACCCCCGAACCTTCGATACAGGGGGAATAAAAATCAATACTCAGTTTGTCACGGGGATGACTACAGGTTTTTTAATGGTGAACTTTTGCATCATTCTGAGAGACACCCCAGACCAGGGGCCATAAAGGGGGGGGGGGTTCCTACCTATGGATGACCCGAGCTTTCCTTTTAATTTTCAAATCTATATGCAGTATATTTTATTTCTAGACCTTTTCCCTTCATCTTCGGTAACCCAGGACATGGCCGTAGGAACGGGGGGGGGGGGGACACGGGGTGCCGTGCCCCCCCCCCCCAATAATTTTGCCGATATATAGCTTACTGTAGTAAACATAGATACTATAAGCTTGTGCCCCCTCAATAAAACGTCTGATGACCTTTTTTTTTGCTTGTCAGGAAATTTTTGGTAATACCCCCTCAACTGTCAACTGAAAATGTATGGCTATGCCCCCCCTCCCCCCCCCCCCCCCAACCGAATGTACTTCCTACGGGCCTGCGGGAGTACTTCACATCAATATTGTTGTCGATCAATGCCGTTATTGTATTAAAACATACCTTCAACAAAGTAATTTGTTCTTAAAATTCCAGAACATTGGATGACTTATTCTGTTTACCTATCTTTCTTATATGAAGACAGCTGGATAAAAATGATTAATTAAAGAAACAGACAGTATTTACAAGTTTCATGTGTAGGAGCCTGACTTTAAGTTTAAACTGTAATAAGGATGCAAGGGCCTTTGGTTTTGTCCATGAAAAAAATGTACCCATTCATTCCCTGTTTTAAACCAAGAAGTGATATTTTGCGTAGCCAGTCATTTTAAATCATCGATTCTCGTTCAGTATGCAATAAACTTGCCCATCCATAAAATGTATGCGAGTCCATATTGATATAAATACATGTAACAGACATCTCAGTAGGGATCGGTCTTTAAACGTCAATAAAACTTCTTTCAGCTCTATTTTAAAAAAAAAAATACAGAACACATTCTCCTTTCAACAGGGTCTTGTGTTCTATGTGCTTTATATAATGCCCCCCCCCCTCCCCCCTCGTAAATGCTAACAATAATTTAATCAGCAAATATATGAGTGGTGTTTGCGTGTTGGGGGGAGAGGGGAGAATAGATATTTTGCAGCATTTATCATTTTAGCTAGAAGTTGGACGATTTAACAGGATGAAAACTGGATGTATTGAATTATAATAGAATTTTGTTGATGTAACAAATTTATCAGTAGTCCAAATTTTGTAAATCTTTCTTTTCAAAACAATTTATGAAGGAATGAAAATTATCATTTATTGAACGCCATTTGTGTGTTGAGATCCAATGAAGCATGGACTATTTAAACAAGCATATCCAACAATGTTGAACGATCTTTTGAGGTCGATGTATTTGGAAATAACCATTTACGCAGTGTGTAAAAATATTTCCATATCATTAAAAAAAAAATTGTTTTTGTGAGGAATATACTGAACAGGAGAGATACAGAAAGGTAAGCGGGGGAATCGAGGGTATATCTCAAAATATAAAAATAGGTTATTCCATTATACACAAGTCATCAAAATCTAACTATTTTTCGAGCTATTGATATATATTTATTTGTTGAATTTATTGAAATATTTCTTTATGTTTAATCCCGAGTATTTTGATAATAGCCAATATTACTCTACCTACTAACACAGAGAAAAAAGCAAATTTGTTTAAAAATTTATATCAGAAATGTTAATTATTTGTTTTTGTTCATAAGTAAAGTTAAAAAATACTCAAACGCATGCAGAAATATACAAATAAAATAAAGTGACTTGGAGGTCCAACTGACCGGGTGCAAATTGTTCATTTTCATATATATTATATCATAAATGCCATGTATGCACAATGCCACTATCATAAACAATTACTTATAACACTTGAACTTTCTAGAATCGTCGTAGAAAGCGGGCCCGTAGCAACGATTTTAAAAGGGGGTGCGGGTACCCCCCCCCCCCCAAAAAAAGAAGGGAAAAACCTAAAATGTCCAAACTCGAAAATTCTATTTCGTTTGGGGGGGGGGGGGGGCTTTCTCTTACTTTTTGGTACAATTTGCCAGTGTTCGACCTCACAGCAACAAACGCTATAGTATTTTAATAATCCTGTGTTATTCCTACGTACATACTTATTTTTTTTTTTTTTTTTTTTTTTTGGTCTTGGTAGAAATATAGCATGTCAAAATATTCTTTGAAAGTTCTTTTTTTTTCTTTTCTCTTTTTTATTTTATTTATTTTTTTTTTAATTTTTGTTTCTTTTTTTCAGGTGTAATTATTCAATATGGGCCTGTCTTGTGGAGGAAAATGTGTCAAATTTTTCCTAGTTGTCATCAACATAATATTTATGGTACTGTATATTTATTGAACACTCTTCATAGATTGTGTGCTTCAAATGGCTTTTGAAAAACAAAATGCTTGAAAACACATTGGAGGACTTTATTTTTTTTAGATTTCAGTATCTTCTAGTCATTCACACTCCATTCTAATAAAAACGTGTAAAGAAGATGTTATTTAAATCTCCCGTTCAATGACCTTCCAGAAGGGCTGAGATTTTGAAATGTCTTTCGACAGGATCTGATATAGCATATGATCACGACGTTTGTTTTGTTTGGACTGATTTAAAATCCAACTTCAGTATAATACATTTTTCCTGTTCAATGGTTATTGATTTAGTATTTATCATTCAATCCGTGGAGTTAAACTAACACAATTTTATGGCATTTGTAATGCTGACAGGATATGTTAATTATTATAAAATAAGCATGGAACAAACTGATATTCACTTTCTAAATTATTTTTGTTTTTAACTAAATTCTTAATTAATCAATTATAGTTAATACTAATTCTAAAAATGTCCTGTAGTGTAATTGATGGGAACTTTTTGAATGTCCTGTAGTTGTGTAATTGATGGGAACTTTTTGACTTCCTCCATAAGATTTAGAATATTTACAATACATTTTTATTCGCGGGTTCAGCTATGATGATTGTTAACTTCCGATTTTTTTTTAAATATTAAGCCACACTTGTAGGGCAAATTAGTTAAAGGATTCCGAACGCATTCGTTTATAGTAGCTCAGACACACAGTGTAGAAACGGACTAGGGTAAAGTGCGTTACCCTAGTCCGAGATAGCGATAGGCAAAACGCTTCACATTTTCTCGTACAAATATATGTATTGGTGATTTCTAGCGTTAAGTATTACTTTATTTTGCACCAATCTGTCGGGCAGCTTCAGTTTTACATGCTCCGTTGAAGACTGTTTTCAACTTTAGTGTAATTAAAAAGAAAATGCACGTCAAAGTTTTGCTGCAGACTAGGATAAAGTTTCTGAACGATTTATTTACGATTAGGGAAAAGTTTTTTTTTGAGACTAGGGTAAAGTTATTTATTCTACAACCTAATTGTGCACGATTTTGATTTTTTATCAGCTTTATACAATTAATATAGTTGAAAAGGGTTTTCTCGAAAATGTTCAAGAACTGTTGCTTCCACAAAGAGGTCATACCGATTGCAATTTTTTTTTTAATAACCAGAATTTTCATACAAAAAAATTATTCTTATTATGAACGTTATATTTTCTGTTTCAGGTGCATACATTATTTTCTTGTTAGATAAATAAACATGTATAAATGATGTAATAAATTTATTTAATTTAACTTTAAATATCGTTTCCTGTATAAATCTAAATCCACTTTGCATCTTTCAATCCCCACTTTGGGTAAAATCATCGAAATCAGTCAACAACCTACGTCAAATTTGCATATGTTGGTACTCGACAGTAACAGAGTTAAATCCGCATTGTGAGTAACTGAAATAAACTTTTATCAACTGAAATGCAAAAATAACTGTTAGCATGCTCAAAGTCCACTTAAACAATACAAATTGTGAGAAGAGCAAACAAGGACCTCTGAAAACATCAGAGGTGGGATCAGGTGCCATGGGGAGTAGGCATCATCTTTCGATCGATCACCTCAACCACGTATCCTTTTTTAAATCAGATAATCGGAAAATGTGTTCACTATTCAGTAAGAAAATAATAAACTATCAAAAGCCATCAGTCAACATTCGATCTAACAATATAATGTACTATTTGCTAACAAAATCATTGCATTGACCATAGAATATACGAAATGTTGGCTATAAATGAAATTGTTAATACCCTTATTATCAACTTATTCGTCAGCAGGCTGTCTCGTTTTAGAAATTGTTCGTATGAAAACATGCTCTTGCTCATCGAATCCACTGGCGACATAAACCCTAACTGCAGGTGAAAATGATATATTGCAACACAAATAAGGGGAGTTAAATTGATGATAGAAGAGTTGGAGTCATCACATTTATCATAAACTTTTAAGCTTAGGTGTTAGTTTACCATCAATGTCTTTTTTGAGTAAAACATCCAAATATGTATTGTCAGAATCGGTGATATATTTTATTGAGTTTAATGGGACATATCAAATCAATGTCTGAATAAAAATGACTATTATCAATTGACAAAACATCCTCAATATATCTTACTGTTAAATTGAAGGTCACAGCAAGAGACTTCTTTTTTACATATGATCGCTAGTTTATATGCAAACAAGTGTTGGATTTTGTTTTAAAGTATAATAATGTAGATTGTAAAGATATCGAATATTGATCAGTCTCATAAATCCGTAAACCAAACCAAACATATAAATGTATTGACAATGTGCAATGGTGACGACATAGCTCTATCAATATCTATTTACAAAATGATTTGACAAATATGATTTATTAAAGTAGTCGAACTAAACACCTCCATCACAAAAGAACGCACTTTTTGTTTGGAAAGAATTTCTATGCGTTGCTAAGGAGATTGAACTTAGTGCATGTTCTGATTTATTAAGAATAATTTATTGAATGGATGAATACCCATTTTTTTTTCTTAGTTAAGAATATTTTAAGTACTTAGGTGCAATTTTTATGAAAAAAACTTACACAAGTTTTATGAATCTAAGCCCAGGTTAATCTGCATTTATCTTGCTCTTGGACAAATACTTTGCCAAAGTTTTCTCAAAAGGAACAGCAAAGTTTATTTTGCCTTTTTTTCTCAATCTAGGGTTAAGCGTATAAGTACTAGTAAAATAACATTTTCTGTATAACATGCAAATCTAACTACAAATAAGTAATCGAGAGAGAGAGTATACACATAATTAAGTTGATGACTAAGGGTATCAACCATCTCGTTTAAAGTCGACATTTAACAAATTCTATGGTTGATACAATGACCTTGTGTGCAAATACAATCTATCGTTTAGTCGAATGTTGGCTGACGTCCTTCATAATGGTTAGGCCATTTTTTTCCATTTACTTGATCATGACAAAGAGTACACGGCAGGTTTTACTGGGTATGCTCACTCCTCCATGGCACATGATTCCACCTCTGTTTTCACTTTTCAGAGGTCCATGTTTGCTCTGCTCATAATTTGTATTGTTTAAATTGGATTTTGAACATGAATTCTGTTCGTTATTTTCACATTTAATAGAAGATACTTTAATTGATCTGTTAATATTTGAAAAAGTTTTTCATCGTTTCTAAATCATCAGAACACAGTTTTCAAGACTCAATTTTTTTTATAAAGTTAAACAGAAACATAAACTAATTTAAACAAAATAAGGCAATTGTGCTCTTCCAGAAATTGTCAGCGCACTGAGAATTTTTCAATTACATAGTGTTTGGTGCAATGAATTATGAATTTACTGGCAGAGTGCGTGTTGCGTCTGCTGAAATAGCATTTTTTTTAACCCCTAAAAGAAGCAAAATGACATTTTACACATGCTTTACCCTAATCACTCAAAGAGGTCACAAAATCTTTACCCTAGTCGTAAATATGCGTTACCCTAATCTTGGTCAAATTTTCTACCCGTAATTTGGCTTTAATCAGCGCAGATCATGCAAAATTTTTGCAAAAGTTACGTACTTCTGCTTAAAATACTTATAACAAAACCACCCATTTCATAATGTAAGCCTGTATCATGCGTAAACTAAGTGCAAAACAAGCTTATCTTTTTAAAAAGATTGGTGAGCTAGCGCTGTAGCATAATAAAATACAGAAGAACCATTTGTTAAATTTGCTGAATCGATTAATTATCAATAAGAAGGCACATTGGAGCACTGGGGGGGGGGGGGGGTCATAATTCAGAATGGTGAATCTAAGAGTGGGCTTCACGTCGGCAATGGCATAACTCCTAACTGTGCTTTAAGCATTCTGTATTCTACTGTAATTTCAATTTGGAGGTGAAAAAAAGGTCAGTAGAACCAATGAGCACCTAGTTTAAAATATTCCAGTGCGGTACTGTTTTTTTTTTTAGTAATCGCATGTTCTCGGAACTTTCCGGCAAGCTCGGTAAACATATCCGAGGTTGCGGCGGTTTTCCAAACTTGCCGGAAAAATCAATGAAGGTAGATTAGAAAAGATAGGTACTCATTACAATTTTAGAAATAACAGTCTTCTTTTTATAAGACCCGAGTAACTGTTACTTTTTGTTCATTTACGTGCAGGATAGACAACAAAACACGAAACTTCAGATCATATGTATTTTCAGATGATAAAAACTAAACTGACATGTCTTTCCGACATACTCTGAAAATATTTTTTTCCGAGCTTGCCGAAATTATCCAGGAAGGTGGTGCAACTGTGAGAAAAGCTAGATGTCTAGAATCTTATGCATTATATGACCTAAGTTTTTCTTGTACTTTTACGTGTAGGTTAGACAATAAATTAAAAAAAAATCAGAATCCGGATCTAGACTGGTATTGCCTGTCTCTAACTTAAGAAATGTATATCGCACATATCAGACAGGAAAGGCTAGTGTAAATTCTGATCATATCTATATTTGTATGGCAAAACGAAATTGTTATCGCACAGTCTATCTACAGTAGTTTTCCCAGAATGCCCGACCGTGAAGTCGAGCATGCGTATTCCAGAAATATAGAATAACGTAGTTGCTAGCGCTCGAGAGCGCTAGCAATAATCGAAGCGTATAAATTTGCCTGTCGCCAATTTGGAGTAGGGTAAGGCATTTTACCCTAGTCCGTTTCTACTGACAAGTTCTAAATAATACGGCTAAAATTAAGTCACATTCAATCTACATATTAAGGTAAAGATTCTCAAATTATTGTCATTCGATTCATCACCAAGTACATGTATACACGCATTCTGACCTACCTTTAGCTGGTAACAAAAACTTACCTAACAAGCATACCATACATTTTAAGGACGGCACGTTATCTTTACGATTTTTAGTTGCTCGGGCTTGGAATCCTTATTCCCGGAATTTTGATGTTGGCTGATGTTGACGTCATCAATGACGAAGTACTCCCTTTACTGCAACAGCTGTCATTCGGTGCGCTAAATGTGGGGGACCTGGCCAAGGGTCTGTCTGTGACGTTGATCGTTTTTGGCACCTTCGTCCTAATTGTCTCCACACTGGGCTGTTGTGGCGCCTTCTGTCAACAGAGGTGCTGCCTGATCATCGTGAGTTTTCCATAGGTTACAAAATTTACATTCTCGATCGTTATTATTCTGTTGAGTTTCACATTCAAATACTAGAAAACAAAATGAGAAATCAAAATTTTCTTTAGATTCTAATTTACCATATTAGTACCATTGCTGAAGATAAATTTTCTTAACAGTATGCCATTCTGGTGTTGGTGTTCTTCCTGGCAAAGCTGGTGGTCGTCATCTTGTGGTTTGTTATGAACGACAAGGTAAATCAGGCAAACCACTTCAATCATCAGTATAAAAAATGTGAAATAGTGATGTTTAGAAACTCAGAATCCTGTATTATATAGATGATTATAATTCATGTCGCTTTTATTATGGTATTCAGATCCAAAGTTGGATGAAGACAGAACTTTTAAAACAACTTCAGACCAACTATAAAAATGACGACCTGAATACGCATGAAATTTCAACTGCTTGGAACTATATGTTCATGTCTGTAAGTGTTTGCTCTCTCTCTCTCTCTCTCTCTCTCTCTCTCTCTCTCTCTCTCTCTCTCTGTGTGTGTGTGTGTGTGTGTGTGTGTGTGTGTGTGTGTGTGTTTACAAAACATATTCATTTCACTGCAGCTCTCTTGCTGCGGCGTCAATGCAGTAACCGGAACAACAAATGACTTTGACAACTCTGTATGGATCAGTAGTGCCGGAAGTAAACATATCCCAATATTCTGTTGTACTGGAATCACAGCCTCGAATTACGCCTCACAAACTAACACTGCGTGCACAGACACTGTCACATCAGGCTACCACACTAAAGTAAGTATCTTCAATTTGTGTTTATGTTACTCAGTCACAAAAATTAGATGTCGCGGATTGATTTTAAACATAGGAAATCTCGAATAAATGCTGTGCAGTATAATAGTTGGTTTATAGTGTTTAGCTGATCGGATAAGAAGTGGGTTAACTTCTAAGTCTACCTTCCTGGAAACGAGCTTTGTATAAAATTATTGGAAAATGCATTAAAAATAGCTTGAATTTTTCCTTACTAAATAAGTATTTATGCAGGAAAAATCACATTTCATATTTTTAAGTGGATCTCATGGGATATTTTTTGACCACTCAGCCTCCTTAATTGGGTTTGATTTATATGAACCGATGAATTTTAAAGTAATTCTTCTGAGCTTAAATCTGCAAATTTGTTTTTTTTTTAAAAGATCATGTTGAATTTTATACATATTTTAGGGTTGTTATGATGCCACGTATGATTCCCTGAGCAGCTATAGCACAGCGTTTATTGTTGTCGGGGTCTGTACCCTGTTAGTCGAGGTAAGAATCATACCAGGTTTTGTATCCTGTTAGTAGAGGTAAGATGTATCTGTCAGGGTACGAGTCTAGAAGAGATAAGAATCATACCAGGTTTTGTATCCTGTTAGTAGAGGTAAGAGGTATCTGTCAGGGTACCAGTCTAGTAGAGGTAAGAGTATCTGTCAGAGTACCAGTCTAGTAGAGGTAAGAGATATCTGTCAGGGTACCAGTCTAGTAGAGGTAAGAGATATCTGTCAGAGTACCAGTCTAGTAGTGGTAAGAGATATCTGTCAGGGTACCAGTCTAGTAGAGGTAAGAATCATACCAGGTTTTGTATCCTGTTAGTAGAGGTAAGAGGTATCTGTCAGGGTACCAGTCTAGTAGAGGTAAGAGTATCTGTCAGAGTACCAGTCTAGTAGAGGTAAGAGTTTTCTGTCAGGGTACCAGTCTAGTAGAGGTAAGAGATATCTGTCAGAGTACCAGTCTAGTAGATGTAAGAGTATCTGTCAGAGTACCACTCTAGTAGAGGTAAGAGATATCTGTCAGGGTACCAGTCTGGTAAGAGATATCTGTCAGAGTACCAGTCTAGTAGAGGTAAGAGATATCTGTCAGGGTACCAGTCTAGTAGAGGTAAGAGATATCTGTCAGAGTACCAGTCTAGTAGAGGTAAGAGATATCTGTCAGAGTACCAGTCTAGTAGAGGTAAGAGGTATCTGTCAGGGTACCAGTCTAGTATAGGTAAGAGATATCTGTCAGAGTACCAGTCTAGTAGAGGTAAGAGGTATCTGTCAGAGTACCAGTCTAGTAGAGGTAAGAATCATACCAGGATTTGTATCCTGTTAGTAGAGGTAAGAGGTATCTGTTAGGGTACCAGTATAGTAGAGGTAAGAGGTATCTGTCAGGGTACCAGTCTAGTAGAGGTAAGAGGTATCTGTCAGGGTATCAGTCTAGAAGAGGTAAGAGGTATCTCTCAGAGTACCAGTCTAGTAGAGGTAAGAGGTATCTGTCAGGGTACCAGTCTAGAAGAGGTAAGAGATATCTGTCAGAGTACCAGTCTAGTAGAGGTAAGAGGTATCTGTCAGGGTACCAGTCTAGAAGAGGTAAGAGGTATCTGTCAGGGTACCAGTCTAGTAGAGGTAAGAATCATACCAGGATTTGTATCCTGTTAGTAGAGGTAAGAATCGGTCAACATAATAAAATGCCGTATTATTTTTCTAAAATTCTAAGCTGTGTATTTCTGTAAACAAAAAAACAAAAACAAAAACAAAAAAAAAAGAAAAGAAAAAGAAAAAGAAAAAAAAAGAAAGGAAAAAAAAGAAAAAAGAATTTTTTTGCTTGTAAAAGGTAATTATGAATACATAGAAATACTTTTAATTATATGCTAAAAATATAAGTCTCTATCTTAATTGTAATTTCAATAAACATCACATCATTCATTTTAAAGAGAGGAAGTGTATAGTTCGAAGACTGTTTAATGCTTCAACTATAAATTACAACAACAAAAAAAGTTAAGTAATTGTTAGCAGGAAGTTTATTGTCCACCATAACAAGGCTTTCTATTCATTTTTCTCCTTTCACTGTCATTTTGTCCGTGTGTAACACTTTCGATTCAGGACAAAATCTCCGAAAGCCTTCGGGCTTTTGCACATATCCTTATGGCCTACACAAGTTCACTATTGATTTTTGAGGTCAAAATGTCGAAGGTTAAGGTAATAAATACATACATTGCAAATAACAGTTTCCAGATGATATCTTGTTTTCTTTGAGCTTTTCTCAATGAAATGTAATATCACAACCCCTTTGGCCTAAAAAAGGCCACTATTGCTTTTCAAGTTCAGAAATTCATACATTCTGTTTGTGCGTAACACTTTCGTTTCCGAGCGATATCTTAAAAGTCCTTTGAGATTTTGCAATAAATTCCCTATGGCCTAAAGAAAAGATTCCTAGGGCTCTTGATGATGCGATCAAGAGTTCAAAGTTCGAGGTCGGAAATTCATATATTGCAAAAAATGGTTTTTGGATGATAACTTTAGTTCTCTGAACATTTTCAATGAAGTTGATTTTAGGTCAAATGTCCAAGGTCAACGTAAGAAAATTATACAATGCAAAACTTAAAAAAATGGTTTCCAGAAGAAAAATTTAGTTTTCCTTGAACTTTTTTTCTATGAAATTTTATAATTCCCACTGAGATTAAAGAAGACCCCTTTTGATTTTTTGGTCCATAGGATAAGGTCAAAAATTCATTTCTTGCATAAAATGGTTTCCTAATGATAAGTTCATTTTGCGGTTTTACATTGAAATTTCATACCTTTATTCAAAGCTTTTTCAATGCAATTTAAAGTCTTGAATTTCGCTCACTAAAATGAGACCTTTATTGACTTATTGACTTTAAGGCCAAAACCTGAAAGGTCAGAATTGACCTTTTTTCTTTCTCCATCTGCATATTTTTTTTTCGGTTCTTCCACCCTCTTCTTTTTTTCCTTAACAGGGGACGCATATTCTCTAAATTAACCCTATTCATATTATTTGATATACGTTCATTTGCAAAATTGATTATTTCCTTGAAATCAATGTGTTCCGTAGAGTTAATTTAGGGTACATGTTCCATGTCAGTAGTGTTATTTTTTTTATCATTATTATTATTATTATTTTTTTGTATTTTCTTTTTCTGTTTCTTATACCGTTTAACATTTTCCGAGTTGGACAAAATATAAATATGATAAATATTGTATTGCAGATTGTTGCGTTCATTGGGGCCATTATAATCATTAAGAACGGCGGCGAGGACGGAAAGAGTTTATCCGGAGCCGCCAAAATGGTGTAGCAGGAAAATTAATGACTGTGTGTGCCTAACAAGCTTCATTCCATCCAATACAGAAAAATCGTAGTGCATATTTTGTCTCAGTATCTTGATCCAAACTTTGATTCACCTTTATTGGTTTTTCTCATTTTGGCAATTTTTTAAGCTATATCATGTATGTATAACATTTGTTTTATAAAGTGCCATATATTTAAATCACACTAAAATCACAATTGCATATATATTTTTACAATAACAAAAATGTTGTTATAAAATTTGCTCCGAAGTTACGCAAGTTGTTTGCTATAATGACCACAAAAAATGTTCTGTGTGACGTAGCACACACACACACACACACACTCTCTCTCTCTCTCTTAAACGTTATATCTTGACGCAATTGTTAAAATAAATAGTTTATTGATTTGAAGCAAATTTCATTAACAATGTCATGTACATAATATCATTCGTGTTATAATCAAAAGAATAAAATAAATATATCACAGATATACTGAATTCTTTACAGATATTGTATCACTGACTCCATCAGTTATCCCCTTAAACTTTTCCGTTTTCCGTCTTGCCAATTTTTTTGCACATACAGCAGGCAAATATAACCCCTAGGGTCTGAAAAAAATGAAAATTTTATTTAGATAACAAAATTCACATACGAATTATTATATAGATATTAAACATTTCCACATTAACCTCTCTCTTAATCTCAGTGAGATCCGTAGATAATAAAAATTTTGGTCTGGTATTTCTACGGATCTCAGACCAGTATCACATAATCTCATTCGGGGTTTCGTGCCCGGACTTCGACCGCTTGTTTCGATTAATTCGGGCTGAAATGAATTAGCTGTCCGCTTCAGCTTTTTGCTTTGGACATCCTTTTAATTCCCTATCACCATAAAACTTTCGTTTCTTACCTCTGAAAGGTTTAAATCCATCAAAATATAAAGTTGTTGATTTTTCATAGCAATAAGCTATTCGTTTAAACCTCCAATGCTGAAGAGTTCCAGCAATAGTCTGCTTCAAATACTTCGTGCTATGGTTCATTTCTATAGGAAAAATTAGTGGTACGAAGTATTTGAAGCAGACTATTGCTGGAACTCTTCAGCATTGGAGGTTTAAACGAATAGCTTATTGCTATGAAAAATCAACAACTTTATATTTTGATGGATTTAAACCTTTCAGAGGTAAGAAACGAAAGTTTTATGGTGATAGGGAATTAAAAGGATGTCCAAAGCAAAAAGTTGAAGCGGACAGCTAATTCATTTCAGCCCGTATTAATCGAAACAAGCGGTCGAAGTCCGGGCACGAAACCCCGAATGAGATTATGTGATACTGGTCTGAGATCCGTAGAAATACCAGACCAAAATTTTTATTCTCTACGGATCTCGCTGAGATTACCCCTCTCTCTCTCTCTCTCTCTCTATATATATATATATATATATATCATGACAATTATGGTGTTAATATTTCATGTCTTATCTTACCTCGACTATAAGTATTGTGACTCCAACTGCAATGTAGTATATCGAGTATTTCATAATGAGGTTATAAAAAGCATCATAACAACCCTGAAAAAGATTGGAAATATGCTATGTTATACTGCGAATAAAGCCTTTAGAAAAAGCTACAGATTAATCAAGTTTTGATAATTAATTTGAATTACGACTATGCATGGTGAATCTTATCATTACAGTTAGTAAATTGCAATATAGCGATTTAAAACTCAAACTAGTACGGTTTACGTGAAACTGGACTGAAAATGCATCGAGCAATCTTGATTGATGTTTTGTTATTATAACAAAGTTTAAACAGGGTCAAACAAATGGACTCCTATAATTGTAGGGTCGTATCAAAGTTAACAACCGTGGCAAAAGTGTCAGAATGTCAGTCACTTTCATAATATTTTACATTTCGCTAGTCATAGGAGGGAATTTTCCAAAAGTTCCTTTCATTTGTATGATCAATATCTGGGGCCTTGCTCGATGTAAATTCGAAAATTGTGAAAGGAATTGACTAGACGTAATGGTTTTGTCTAATTAAGGTACAGTAAATATTGCATGAATATAATATTTTGTCTCTTTTCCACCAAGTCATTTGTAACATGTACAGAAATCATGCTTTCTTCTCGGATACATCTCCCAAAGGACAGAGATAAATGAATTTTCAATCAGGTTAACCCACTCAATAGAAATTAAGCCATAAAATATAAATTATTTAACAGAAGGAAGGAATCACCAAAACTTACAATTCCGTAGTAACCGGCGCTAACATTGTCTGTACAGGCTGTGTAGGTGGCGCCAGCTGAATCCGCGTTTATACCGGAACAACAAAAGATGGGGATGTGTTTACTTCCGGCTCCAGCTATCCAGGGGGTGTTGTCAAAATCATTTGTCTGTCCTGTCACCGCATTTACTGCACAGCACTCCAGCTACAAATTAGATCATCCTTTTATTCAACTTTTAAAATGCTTTAATTTTTTTTAAATTAATTGTATATTCTAAAACCATTTTACTTGAAATTTATGATTCTATTCTAACAAAGATGAAAGGAAAACGATAATTAGAAAAATTGCACCTGCTTTTTTTAAAATGTAATTTGGATAATTCTCCTTTCTTCTAACATTGATTTTGGGTATCAGTAACGTAATACTATTATTTTTGGACAGCTATATGCCAGACAGTTAATACATCGACATGTACAAGTATATGTTCTTATAAAGTTAAGTTTTAGAATAAAAGAAGTTTTGATGTAAACTCTTACATGATAAGCTAAAATATAGTTTTTATATCTATAGTTTACATAGTATTTTCCTTTCTAATCAATTTGACTTCTTTTCATTCTTGCTTAGATGGTCACGTTTAATGCCTTACCGTCATAAACATGAAGTTAAATGCTGTTGATATTTCGTCGGTTGTTAGGTCGTCCGCTGAGTATCTATTCGTTAGCTGGGATAACAACTGAGATTTTAAGTACGACTGAACCTGTAAATAAAAAAAATACAACATGTAATGTTATCAAATTTAATCCGTGTAGACATCTTGAGGGTACATAAATCTATCTGGCTTTGTAATATTACACGATTCAAGCTTTTAAAAACTTTTAAACAATAATATATCTACGTCTTGCGATAATCTATTTGTAAACACGTCATAATTTTGATTATAACAGGATTACGCCAATCTTAGGAGTGTTTATTGTTTAAAACTGTAAGAAATGTAAGTGTATATAGTTAATATCCTGTTGTGTATAAATTTCGGAGTCCCTTACCTCTGCATTCATCAAAACCCACAGCACTACCACTATGACTTTAACCACCAGCAGACTCAGCACAATGAGGGAATACTGAGTAGAAATGGTAAAAAATATATTATCTAAATATCACCAAAAACAAACAATCCACCTTTGTTTTAACATAAAGAAAATATTCTTATTTAATTTGAAATAGGAACTCACCAGACAGAGACAGCCCTTAGCTTTCTTACAGGCCCCACAAATCCCCAGGGTGGCTATAATGAGAATGAAGCCCCCTATCACTACCATGGTGATGGCCAGACCGTCGGCGAGGTCTGCGGCGTTAAAGCTCCCCACCGACAGGGTTTTCATCAGTGGCACGATTTTTTCATTCACGTATGTGACGTCTGCGAGCATCACCGCCCCGGGCACGATCAACAAAATGGCAAATAACTGAAATAAAATATCATTAATCAACAGTGTACGTATACAGGACAATGAGAAGGGGGTGAGAGGGGCGATGCAACTGGGGCGTTTAATCTCAACTCCAATCATCGTCGGAAACACAAGCCATAGGGTGATCTATAGTCTTTTAAGTAAAGACGAAGTCATCCGTGGGTATCCGACTATGCATTCCAATAGAGAGATAGGAAAATAAATCGTAACTAACCTGTTAAATGCATATAAAATAATTAAAAGTTGCATAATTACACATTCGGGTTCTATTTTGAAATACACGATTTACATGAAGTTGATTAACAATGTCAAAGGTGTCAAATGAAAATTTTACATTAAAAATATGTTAATTACAGACTTGGCATTAGCGCCCGGATTTAGACATTTTAGCTTATTGACTGGACGTTTTAGTGGAAAAATATGGAAGTTTAAGCGGACATTTTCTGGACATTTTAGTGGAAGATTTGAAGGTCCTTTAAGCGGAATTTCAAATAGGATTCGTACATTTTAGCGAAAAATTCAGTGAAATATGTGTATGTGTATTTCTCTTCCGTTAACCAGTCCCATGCTCACCAACAGGAAGATAGGAGTAGGATTTTGAATGAGAATGGTATAGGAAGAACTCTTAGTTCAAAAAGGAGATTTGTAGTTTTTCATAGACAATTTAACAAAAGGGGAGGGGAATTCAAGTAATCAATCAATTCTTTCGTGTACTTCCCTAAATATATTTTTGAGTTGAATTTGTTTTACCCGCTGCATTTCATTTCTGGAATTTTGCATTGCATTTCCGACAATTTTGATTTTGATTTTTTTTTTATATTTACAGAATTTTTAAGGGTACCTTTCGGGCAATTTAATGTTTACGGATGTAGGTGGGAATAAACTTTTAACAAAATGTTGATATTACTCTTATTTCAAACCACATTCTCCGAATTAAAATATTACAATACACCGTATATGAATGCTGCACTGAGTCTAATTAAAAGTTTTGCATAAGTGAAACGATCATGAATTTTTTGTTCACCAAATTCAAATATGTCGGTGACTGCACCGAATTTATGGTGGATGTCAAATGATTTATGCTTTTAAAATATTTTAAAAGGAAAGTCTTGAATTTTGTTTTGAATTTTATCGCCGGAAAAGTCCTTTATGATAAATGTCAGAGATTGAAACTTAAAAATTCGGAAATGAAAACAATAAAATGTCGGAAATGAAAAGTTGAATATTTTAAAAGTTTCCGGAAATGAAATGCAGCCGTTTTACCTGTGCCAGAGAGCTTCCGTAAGAGTTGATAACTTAGTAATTAATTGGTCAATATTTGCTGACTTCACATTGAACCTTTAAGATAATTAAATTTACTTCTTTAAAAAAAAATCAGCTTAAATGTCCGGTGAATTTTTACAGCTAGCTGATTTTTCTTTCGCCAAAATGTCCTATAAATCTTCCACCAGTTAAAATGTCCATTCACACCTTTTTGCAATGGCCCTAAAATGTCTTTCGCCTTAAATTCCACACTTTCAAAATGAAATAACTTAAAAATCGGGTATCTTACAATTTTATAGAGCAAGCTAAGGTTATTTGAGACCTATTCTAAATTCAGAAAAAAGATATCCAAGATCTAGAAAAGTACAATTAATACTTACCATAAATAGTCCATTAACAATTACCAAATAGATGTATCCCAAGGAATCAAAGCACCCCATGGTTAAACTGAAATATTGTAATGAAACTTGTTAATTATAATTTTTTTTCTTTTTTGGTTATATTATTGAACTAGCATGTAAATAGAGAAATTGAGAACATAAATACAACGATTTTAAAAAAGAGGAAAACTGTCTCTTCTTAGGTGTTAAAATAAGTTAAACTCTAAGAAAATCAATGAGCAAATACTTACTTCTTTAACGCTCCTTTCACGAAGAAGATGTTGACTTGCTTTATTGTTTCTTAATATCCATTTCTTACCAGTAAATACGTAATGCTGGACATGCCCGGCCCTGTTTGTGACGTCACACTGAGTGGGAAAAAAGGACCATGTCTAATTACAGGGGGTCCCTTGTGGTCCATTTAACGCGCAGTAAATACGGGCAATTATAACCATGCTGTTTTATTAGAAGATTATAATTAATTATTTGGTTTTTAATTGTTTATTAGCAGACTATTCAGGTCAATAAATTTGAAAATAACATGTTAAAATTAGAATGTGAATCATTATTTTTCTTTCTTAAGTACGAGCATCGTCTCCATTTCACAGGCACTTGTTTCGGTAATAAATTCTTTAACCCACAGTATAATAATTACACATTATACAATAGGTTAAAAAATTTATTACCGAAACAAGTGCCTGTGCTCCATTTCCCGAAACTAGTTACCTTTCATAAAAAAGACCAGGGATTAAAAATGTGCAATTTTGTTGGGAAGAGCAATATTTATTAAAAACAAAAACACTATACGTATATCAGCTTGGATTCGAATTTTTGATTATTACCAACAAATAACGGTAACTCCCTTGCTTGATAGTACTTATATTAAGTGATGTTTGATTAATCTTCGTGATTGAAAGAGATTTGAAAAAGAGAGTTTTAATAAAGACTTCTGAAAATATATCCTTATATGAAATTTCTAATAAGCACTGATAAAACTATGATCCTCTCGAAGCTCAATCGCAAGGGGGGTTGGGGTTGGGGGTTGTTACACTTTTTCCGACAAGAAATTATTAAAAATTAAAATCGGAGAATTTGACTATTCTACAAGAAAATGTGGGTGGGGTAACCGTCATTTCAATGAATATTTTCATATTAAATTAATTAACAGTGAAAGTTAAATTTAGAAAAATAGTTGGGGTACCCCCCTAAATACTACTTATTAAAATTTCCAGGCAAATTTTAACTTGTTCATAGCAAATTAAACACATACATGTACATGTATAGACAGAATAGCATCTGGAGCAAGAATGTATTATCCAACGCTGTACAAGTTATATCACATAGAAAAAGTATCTGTTCATATGTAAAAAAAAAAAAAAAAAAAAAAAAAAATTAAAAAAAATGACGTTTCAAAAATTATAATGAATACATTGTTTTATCGGTATTTGACAGCTACCAGATTTAACCAGTATCTGAGCATTCTTATATATATATATATATATATATATATATATATATATATATATATATATATATATATATATATATATATATATATATATATATATATATATATATATATAATTTTACTTGTGTTCAAGAAGACCTATACATTTAACTGTAGTTATTTCACCAATGAGATTATTTACCAATATAATTATATGACATATCCATCTTCAAAAATCTTGCCGATTCCAGAAATAATAGACTGTGTGGGGGAGAACTGTTCAATGCACTATTGTGCCCCCCCCCACCTCTCTCTCTCTCAAAAAAATAATAAAATGTTAATATTTTATGTCATTCACAAATTTTTCTCTGATATACTGTATGCAAAACCATTTCCTTTTCCTTTTCATTACTCAGACAAATCATTATGCATCTCATCAGTGTCTTGTGTTTGCCTTTGAAGTTTATTGTACAACAACTACGAAACAGAACACTTTCCGTTGGTGTTTCTCATGCAAACGAAGAAAACTGCACAACTTTAATACAGAATATTTAATTTTAGCAATGATGGAAAAATCATCCGTGTCTAAATTTAAAATCAATTTAAATTTTTTAAAAATTGTTATGAAATTTGGAGATAACGAACAGCATTCAAGCTGAAGAGTCCATTCAAACAATAGAAATCAGGAGCAGAGCAAACACAGACCCCTAAAAACTTCAGAGTTGGGATCAGGTGCCATGGAGGAGTAAGCATCCATGTTGACCGGTCAAACCCGCCGTATGCTCCTTGACATGATCGGCCAAACGGAAACATCCGTAGATAATTCAGTGTGAAAATAATGGCTGAACAATTTGACTGAAAAACGTCAAAAAATTCGAAATAATGTTACATGTAGATTATATTTGCTGACAAGGTCATTGTATCGATCATAGAATTTGCAAAATGTTGATTTCAAGGAGGCTGTTGATGTCCTCGTTTTATCAATTTATCTGTCAATAGATTGCCTCGTTTTATATATTGTTCGTACGTAAAGCATGTTCTTGCGTATCGAATCAACACAGAGACATGAACTCCATATGCAGGATATAATGATATATTGCTAAATAAATGAGAAAAATTGACGAAAGAAAAGTTGAAGTCATCACGTTTATCATAAAATTTTGTTGTTAAGTTACTATTAACGTCTTTTCTAGTAAAATATCCAAAAAGGAATAAAATATCTTTTATTTCGAGTTCAAAGGGGTATATCAAATCAACGTAAAAATCAAAACAAATATTGTTAATTGATAGAACGTTGTCGATATATCAAAATGTTGAATTGAAGGCCCACAGGGAAAAAAATCTTTTCATGGACCGTCACTGTATCACAGACGGTAGAGCGCTCGCTCTGTGATCGGAAGGTCGTGGGTTCGAAACCCGGCCGCGACTGACCCAAGTCGATAAAAAATAGGCAGCAACTGTTCCTTCGCCAAGCGCTCAACACTTTGAAGTAAAAGTTGAGGGTCCTTCGGATGAGACCTTAAGAACCGAGGCTTCGTGTCTCAACAGGCGCTGGCACGTTAGGATCCCTCGCTGCTCAATGACCCTGAGTTCCGAAAGGTCTAAATGTGAAGCCCTTCACCGGAATATGGTGACGTCTCTATGAGTGAAAAATTCTCGAATGGGACGTAAAACAACATACAGTCAATCAATCATCTTCTTTTCATGTATGAGGTCTTTAGAAAAATCGTGTCACAAGTCATAAACAGTACTCGTTTCATCATGCCTTAAGCCCCAGCCCATACAACAGTAATACAACAGATCCTAAAACGATGAAGAATCAGTGTATTATACCTCACCTGATCCAAACGGCCTTCTTTAAAAAAAGGGGGATTGGGTATTTTGTCTCTCCTAACAGGAGGAAATATATTGGTTCAGGCTTAGATATTGGTCTAGTTGTTCGTCTGAATTCTTAGTAGTTGTAAAGTTTTCAAGATTGACAAATTCACTGTTTTTAATTCTAAATTTTGCACTAAAGATAGTATGCAAATTATGTGAATACCAGGAGTATCTATGCTTGAGGCATGGGCATTTTGGGCTGCTCTAATGGCGAGCTTGAATCGTCATTTGCCCGGCATCTTGAATGTATAGCTGGAAGTGACCCTAATCTAGAAAGTACATGTCATTGTATGATAAACCTGTGCAATATATGCAATACCCTATTCCATTTCTTGGTGTGTGTATTCCAGATTTAATAATATTGAATATTATACCATTTCGATTGTATAAGTTTTTATTTTAATTCAATTAGGAGTAAATATCAATTAGTACTTTGTATATTTTCTTTATATATTTTATAATATTCTATTTGTACTAAATGACATAATTGTACATTATTCAGCATCAAGGTCTTCAAAGCTGAGAACAACAATTAAGTAGTTTATTTGACACAATTCAATCTTTAAAAAAACTTACATGGTAAACATATTTTTATCATTATTTTGCTATGTTATAATGAAGAAAGAGATTGGAATTGATTTGCGAACAGATTCGATATTCTAAGTACCTGTAATATTTTCTTGAGTACAAGATAGTTTGGTGCTTTAAATAAATTAACATATATTTATTCAATAAAAGTTCAAATGATATTTGAAATTTTTTTTTTCCATGTGATGAATCATCCAAATGTAACCTTGTTATTTGTCAAACAAACTTTTGTGATTGTCATGGTCTATAATCATTTCTTCTTCTTTTTACGAGGGGAAACTTCCTGATTTTTCTTCCCAATGTTTTTACACAAACAGCACGCACACACGAGACCAACAATCTGAAATAAGTACCGTAATGTTATGGAAATTATTTAAACAATAAAATGTCTTCTTTGGTTGTTAGTATGAGAATTAATGTTGCAGCTGTTGCAGAAATATAAATTTATATCTGTACAAATAATCATCTAAAGAAGGATTCAGCAGATTAAAAACTGTGTTATCGATATGTGTTATTGTATGTTTCATTGAGTAAGAGCCACTGCTCAAGAAATCTGTACAGGTGATATGCTAAACGTTGTTTACTGATTGATTTTTTTCTTAAGAAATAAAGGAGATAACATTAAGGAGGGATTCTTGTCTGGTTTCTGACTAGACGAAATATCCCAAGTAAATTTGCTTGTATGTCTTATATACATAGCTGTAATGTATTAAAAGGGTTATATTTTTCTTTACTCATCATAATTGTACAATTTTAAATAGAAATGGTAAACTGAGTTTGAAATCCAGCAGGGACTATATTTTTGGCGGAACTGCGGCGTATGAAAGTATCTCCTTTTCTGCCTATCAAAATCACTTAGTGAACAATACATTTAGTTGAATTTTTTAAACAATCAAAGACTTAAAGAAATTTTGACGTGTAACTAAAATTAATAATAATGCCCTAAAGTTTTAAAATATAGCAAATAATAATGATTTTCTAAACAAACTTCAATCTTGTTAGCTTTTGAAAACTTCCAACTAAAAACAGATCTGAGCAAAAAAAAATCAGTAAAAGGTGTTTTTCTCTCTTACTAAACGGTCAAAGCTTTTTGTTTTTGTATCATTTTGTATATTTATATGACTACTTTAACATATGTAAAAATAAGAAATATTTAAATATAAGAACTATATAAAAATAACTAATATATCCTAAAAAATTAAGAAAAACAGAGAGGAAGTTCGGATTAGCCAATATCTATTTAAGTTAAATAATGTCAATTAATTTGGTAGAATCATTTGATAGACCCAATATGGTAACATTTTTCTGTGCAAAAAGAAAAACATTTTATCTTTTAAAATAGAATTAGGCATCACATGATTAGCAACAGTGATTTTTTTTTACTCTAAATGTCAAGGAAAAAGATAATGACCTTGACCTGATCTTGCTTCTAAAATAGAACTGTCAAATTTAATCTAATTGATACCATCACTTAGTGATAATGTCTTCTTGAATCAATGAAAATTTCATAAATTTTTAAATACAAGAAATATGAGAAGAACATGAGAAGAATCCCTCTATAGTGGATTTAAATATTTAGTTATTTGTTCAGTTTGTTTTGCACTATAACAGAAGTTTTTAATCATCATCTAAAACACTACAAAACTTCATTTGTCAGCAGCGTAAAAATGCGAAAATTATTATTGAAATGTTAATCAGGACCAGTTAGATTCTAAGAATGTCCAATATCTGCAACTTGCCATCTTGGTTTGAAGGGAAAAAAAAGGCCAAGATAACGAACAGTGATTGAATTCAAAAAATCTATAAACAATACAAATCTGTGAAGAGGGCATAAAACACAGACCAATGGAAATTAATTTCAGAGGTAGAATCAGGTGCCTAAGAGGAGTAAGCATCCCCTGTCGACCTGTCACACCCGCCGTCAGACCTATGTATTGATCAGGTAGTCAAATTCAGTATATACAAACAAGAGCCTAACAATCTGGTTGGTTGGAACTGACAGCGTACATCTATTTCAGTATGAGTTACATGTACTTTACCTCCACACCGAGTATGATACATCCGGTAGCGATAAAGTATAAAGTATAGGTAGATACCGCAGATTCTACAGCACTGTAACAACCCTGTTATTAAAACAAAATTATACTTCAGTCAAGAGGCTTTCTTTCAGGAGTTCGGTTTGTAAATTTCTGACATCAGATATAGCGTTACTGTTTTTGTGAACTAACTGTATTGTAAAAGCCTTTATCCACGTGATCTGTGCAGGATGTGAAGGTGATGAGGTTATAGTTGTTGGTGTTGATCCCTGTACAACAGAAGATGGGGATCTTTTTGGATCCAGATGAGGCCTTCCACGGGGGGTTTGTGAAGTCGTTTGTCATGTTCTGATTATCATTGACACCACAACACGACAGCTATTTTACAGAATTGAAAAGCAAATTAGGTAGAATTCATATATATTTGAACTGAAATTGTTAACATTTAAAGAAAAACACATTTCCAACAAAAGGTTAATCAAGGTACCTCAGTCATTTTAAAGACAAGAGGCCCATGGGCCACATCGCTCACCTAAGCACATTGGCTAGGCAAAAGCACAATCAGTTCAGTATTGAAAAGACCAAGGGGGGGGGGGGGAGGGGAGGGGGGCTTGAATTTTAAACTACCTGATGATGCTTCCATGTCAATATAACAAAGATTAAAGATTTTTCCTATATATTTCTATGTAAAACTTTGATCCTCCATTGCGGCCCCGCCCTACCCCCGGGGGCCATGGTTTGATCAAATTTGAATCTACACTACCTCAGGATGCTTCCATATAAATATGACTCATCATGGCTTGCTGTTCTTGAGAAGAAGATTTTTAAAGATTTTTCCTATATATTTCTATGTAAAACTTTGATCCTCCATTGCAGCCCCGCCCTACCCCCGGGGTCATGATTTGAACAAACTTGAATCCACACTACCTGAGGATGCTTCCACATGAGTTTCATCTTTCCTGGCCCTATGGTTCTTGAGAAGAAGATTTTTAAATGATGCCATTATTTTTTCAGTAATTTCTAATTATCTCCCCTTGAAAGAGGGCGTGGCCCTTCATTTGAACAAACTTGAATCCCCTTTACCCAAGGATACTTTGTGGCAAGTTTGGTTGAAATTGGCCCAGTGGTTCTTGAGAAGAAGTCGAAAATGTGAAAAGTTTACAGACGGACAGACAGACGGACGCCGGACAAAATGTGATCAGAAAAGCTCACATGAGCTTTCAGCTCAGGTGAGCTAAAAAAAACTCCACTTGAAGAAAAATAAGACGGTTTTACATGTAAATCTATTTTTGACATACCGATTTTCAAATTATGTTAAATATCATCAAAGAAATTTAAAGAAAAACTTAAAGAAAAATAAGACGGTTTTACATGTAAAAGCATTTTTGACATACCGATTTTCAAATTATGTTAAATATCATCAAAGAAATTTATTGTTAAGAATTTAACCGCCTTGAATACAAAGAAAGTTTTTGACTTGAAAACTATGTGGCGATGTTTTCGTGTAAGGATACCTTCATAAAAAGATAATTCCAGGCTGTAGAAATTTCATGGCTTGATAGATCCTCTTTTGTGTAGTGCGTCTGAAGGTTGGTGAGTAGTTCACTTTTAATGGAGTTGGTCACCTTAAACGTAAAGAAGCCCTTGGTGATGCATTAAAATACCAATGAGATGCCATCAGCAAAAGTGTGTGTACTTGTGTGTGTGAGGGTATGTGTATAAAACGTTGAAGAATTCCTATTTAATAGAAATGAATTCTAGAAACCATTACTTTCTTCAAGAAATTTCTTATTTTTTGTATCAAATGAAACAATATTAATTAAAGCACATGCAAGTTACCTTATCGTTGGCCACTGCCCAGAGCGCCACTCCGACCAGTTGTAACACCAGAAGAGTAAGTACAATTATAGAGTACTGTAAAGTTCAATCAAATGAATAATAATTGTCCCATCAAGTTTTTTTTTACACTTGCACATAATTTTCAGTTGTTTAAAAGTTTTTATTCATATAAGTTTTTATTTTTATAAATGACGTATCTATGATTTATTAGTTTTGACTTGTTATCTATAAAACTGGGTAGACTGTTATAGAACTAACCACACAGAGGCATTTCTTGTTTGATTTGCAGGCTCCACACAATCCTAGAACAGCCACTAGGACTGTGAAGGTTCCAAGGATAATCATGGAGATGGAGAGACCGTCTGCTACGTCAGCGAGGTTGACATCACCGTAAGACAACGTTTTCATCAGTGGTTTGACGTTCTCATCAATGTATTTAACGTTCGCCAGAATTAAGATCCCGGGAAGAATCAACATCAAGCCAAATATCTTGGACGAACGAATAAAAAAGAAGTACATGTATAAACATTAAGAAACTACGAAAAGTTAAGAAATTTCTACAAATATTATTGCAGGCTAGAGTTTCTTATTTTCTCAAGTTTTCATGTCTTTTGATTAAACTCACTCTATTTTTATTGTTTGGATTTTTTTACGTAGATAAGAAATAGCATACACTTGTAGAAACTTATTTGTTTTATAAAAACATTGGACATAAGTTTGCTTTTACTTAACTAAGCATACCATAAACAGAATGTTGATAAAGACCAGGAAAAGCTTGCCCATTGAGGAGAAACAACCCATCTTGATCTGGAAAATTCACATAACGTAATTTCTTATGTATTTGAATAAAAAGAATCTTTAGGGAATGAATTTAATAGCTACCAAAATACTGTTTAACCTGGGTTGGGACAGTTTACGCTCTAAAAACCGCGATGCAATTTATTAAAAAGCGTAAACTGTTCCAACCCAAGTTATACCAGTATAACTTGGGTAGCTATTAAATTCATTCCTAAAAATTTAATTTTCCATCATTAAGTGTTGAAAAAAGGACAATATCTCCTTCAGAAATGCCTTCAAATTGTACATATTTTTAAGGTAACGCCAAGCGGATTGATACGTTTTTGACGTAAGTCATTATGACGTAGGCAACACAGGTTATACGATATAAGCTTCTTTTTCTTATTCAATCAAATGACGCGCTACAACCAAAATTAAATTATTTATCAATGTTTACAAATTAACAAAATACAACAAATGTAATTTTCGAATGTTCCCAATTATGTATCTAGTATATTGTAATTAATAACGAACCTTGTACGGTACCAGTATTCCACCCAAAATAAATGGTTTCTTTCCAAGTTAATAAATACTTTTAAAGTATATGTTCATATCGGAGCATGTTTTCAGTGATTTATAAACTTAAAGTTAAGAAATATCTTACTAGGCCTTGTTATTGTATTTTACTGTCATTTTTAATGCTAGAAAATCAGTTCCACCAATTTTATAATATAATGAAGTACATATATGTACAAATATTTCGAAAATTCCCATGTCGTGACTGTTTTAATTTATTTGGATATATAGCTCTTGCCAAATACTTGGAGTCGAACATCACGTTATGTTTTATAACCAAGAATAAATACAAAAATAAATTTTATTCTCCATAACACAATTCCAAAAAGTTTCATAAAAATTGGAGAAGCTTGAGTATTAAAACTAAAAATACTCAGAAATATACATACCACCTTTTGGTTGTACAGAATTCTTTTTGATTTGGTTTATGGCCTCCCCTTTCCCCCTCAATGCTGATTTAAATCTGTGCTCATATTGTCTGCTGTTCTAATTCATTTACTTGTAACTTGATCGTTCTTCTTTTGTAATTACTGGTTATACAGAACAATGAAAAAAAAAAATTAACAGATCTTCATAAGCGCACGCTTTCACAAAGGCTATTCCAGCGTTTGCTAAATTTCAATTCTCTTACCATCTCAGTCATCGAGAGTGAATTTGAGTCACCATGCATACCAGGGTTGTCCATAAATTGGACAATGACGTTTTTGTCAAACTGATTGGTCTTCGATATACCTATTTCATACCAAATCATTTGTTATGAAAATCCAGGGCAGAATGGTTTGGTTTTGGTTCTTCTATCTTCATATTTTTGTAAAAATCGCGGACTTTCAAGGTAGCAGATGGTGCGCACGGCCGAGGGCTAAAATGCCATAAACTTTGAAAAAAGGTTTTCGAAATGAAACTATTATTTCTTGCTAAAACAAGCCAAAACTTATTAAAAATCAAATGTGTCTCAAATAAAGAAGTTGTTTAAATATTAAGAAAAACTGCAAAGAATATGTTTCAAAAATCCACAGAAAAGGCATCGCCGGCCGTCAGCATCGAACAGCATCCAGTCATAAAATTGTTTTAATATGGCAGAAGCGACGTCAAGAACAAACTAATTATTCAAACAATTAAAAACTATTGGAATATATTTAGTTCATTGATTAGATATTGGTATATAAGATTTTTCAACGATGTGTACAATGTGAAAAACATTACAAGAAGAGGAAAACTAATTTTATTTGATGAAAATATGATATATCTATTCTGCAGCTTGTGTAAGAAGTGGTAATACAAAAGACGCTCGTAAATTGTCGTATATTGTTCTGAATTTTAAAAATTTTCTCATTTAATTTATATTGTAAATATTATCACACACACTTAGCAGTGACAAAATAAAGAAGGAAAAAATAGCATGTGTTCACGATTATGTGATAAATATCCAAATCCATATTTAGAGGTTATCATGAAATTAGCTTTACGTCAGACTTGACTGTGCGACTTGCATATATAATCTATTTACACTTAAATTTTTTGTAAAATAGTGGATATTATTTGATTTTTTTTTTAAATTTACTAAATCATGGTCTATATCAAAATAATATCGTACACATTTGGCAGTATGGGTATCATTAAGAAAATTTGTCTACGAACTTTATAAACAACCCTCGTATACCGGACACCAAAACTTCTCAAAATCCTAACTATCAAAAATATGTTGCATTGTCCAGAAAATGTTCTATGAATCCCTTATCGCTAATCCTCTCAAAAATATGAACTGCTGTGAAGGAGAAACTTTAGACCTGTTGTTCTAGAAGCCTATTCAAAAAGTGGTTTGAATAAAATGTAAATTCTCAAAAACTTCAAAATGTTTTTGAAAATTTTTAATCATTAACTTTCCCCCGAAATCAACGGCATCAAAACATTAGAATTTCAATACTTTATACAACCCATTCCTCAGGATAAATAAGGACAAGGCTTTTTGACGCCTAGACAACGGCTTCATAAATACAGACGGAACTTGCAAATTATGATATCTTCAATATGAAATATGAAGATAACGAACAGCGATCAAGCTCTAAAGTCCATTGGAACAATACAAATAGGGAGTAGAGCGAACACGGACCACAAAAACATCAGAGGTGGGATCAGATGCCATGGAGGAGTTAGTATTCCCTGTCGATCAGGCGTACCCGCCGTGTGCTCCTTCTCATGATGGGGCAAACGGAAAAATTCGTAGACAATTCAGTGTCAAAATACTGCCCTAACAATTTGTATGAAAAACGTCAGACAACTTTTGACTTAATGATAGATTGAATTTGCTGAAAAAGTCATTGTATCGACCATAGAATTTGCAAAATATGTTGACTTTAAACAGGATTGTTGATATCCTAGAATCATCCACGTATTTACCAACATCTTGCCTCGTTTTGTTAATTGTCCGTAAGTAGAATATGCTCTTGCGTATTGAATCAACTTGGAACTTGGAGACATATACTTCATATACAGGTGATAATGGTATATTGCTACATACATAAAGGAAAATGACGATAAAAAAGTTGAAGTTATCACGTTTATCATAAAGTTTTGTTGTTCGGTTGCCATTAATGTCGTTTTCTGGTAAAATGTTCAAATACGAAACAAATGCGTTAAACTCTGGGTTATTTTTATTTCGAGTTGAAAGGGATATATCGAATCAATGTAAGAATGAAAATGAATATTGTAAAGCGACATCGTGACGCAAAACGGAAAAAATTGACAAAAATAGCATTTTTGCATGACACATGAAAATTTTTGTACAATTCCTTAAAATATTAGCTTTCTCGAAAATTATAGTTTTTAGAACCTAAATAAACTACCTTTTTCAGAACCCTTGACCTCCAAAAACTACATAGATATTGTTAATCAGAAACTCAAGTATCTTTTTAATTATGTCAACCTCGGAGTACTTGTGTGTACAATCAAAATGTTTTTCTAACAAAATAATTTTGCAGATGGTCAGTGACAAGGTATGTAAATTTACAAATTCCATTTTTATTGAAAAAGCAGTTGTCTATGATGTCAAAAAGTCTGTGTGGCTTTAATTTATCGTAGGGAAATGGTTGTATACAGTGTTGAAAAGTCATACTCTTGGATGTGATTAATTTTGGTAAATTTCTGTGATTTCAAATTTTCTAATAGTTCCTTGGAGATTTTAAGTATCCACATCTGATTTACACTACTTCTCGAATGTATTGTTGTACAGTACTCCTGAAGTTTCTCTTTCACTGCTGTTAATATTGTGATGAGGAGTAAAGAAAGAGGCTTGATAGAACATTTACTGGAACCTGCTATGTATCTTTGTTTGTAAAGATTTTTATGTAGTTAAGACATCCAATATAGGTATGGTAATTCAAATTCAATTTGATTTTTGGAAATATATTTAAAACTGACATATGGTTTTGAAGAATGTCCTCCTTGGAAAGGGAACTATGAGTATATGTTGTATTACAACTTGCAGAATTAAATCCAAGAGCTTCTAAAATACAATTAAAATAACAAGCCTTACAAACAATGTTGTTACAACCTTTGTCAGCTGGGACGAGTAGATATTAATCGTGTAATATATCTTATTCTTTTCCACTTCTGAATTATTGAAGACAGATGGGTAGATGGTTTTCATTTTAACCCTCAACTTTTTCATGCGAGATTTTAACATCCACATGATACTTTTAATCCATTCTGATAAAGTGTCAAGGTCTTCTTGTTATTAGTTAAGTAAATGACTTACATGTAGTTAAAAATCACACAGGTTTTACACTCTCAAGTTGATATCAAAAGGTGCTGAATTTCCTCATCGAAAAAATCACTGTAGTCTTTAGAGACCAGGTTTTTTTTTTCAATAATCTTTTGGAATTCACAATTATTTATCTTTATTTACCGACCTCTTTAGTACTCTTATAAAGCAGAATTTAAAAAAAAAAATCTACATGAGAAGAAGAAAAGTTTGCCGTTGCTTTCAACTCAACATTTGATTTATCGACGACGTTTTGTGTATTAACAATACTCATTTTTGACTAGACTACTCTGTTTAACTAGTAAATACAGAGGGGTGACTGTGGATTTGACCAGTCGACAGGAGATGCATACACTCTGATTTCCTAGGGG